TGCAGCGGCTGAGCGGCGCCTGGTTTGTCTCGATCTAACCCCCCCCCCCCTTTCGCCGCCAGTTTGCTGTGCGACCCCCTCCAGGTTTCATTACTCGCCCCAAATTGCGCTGTGTCATCGTACATTTCAGTTTCCGCAAACATTTGCCTCCCGCTTGTATCGTTTACTTAAAAGTTTGCGAGAAGTTGCCGCTTTTCGCGCCAAGGAGTAGGCAGCCCGCAACCCGCCGCGCCACGCCGCGCCACGCCCCGCCCCGCGCCCCGCCCCGCCAGACTTGGCATCGATATCCGGCCCGGAGCCCTCGGGGAGCCCAAAGCCACCGGTTTGAAAGCGCCGCGCAGCGCGCAGCGCGCCATTCGTTGTTCGTCATTATTTCTCTTTTCGAATCAGTCGCTTTGGCGGACCTGTACATGAGTCGCCGTTTTCCGAAGCAAACATGGACCGCGCGAATGGCGGTGTTTCGAGCGTGAACACAAAATGCGGCTGCGCGGCCACTACGCTGCTCACCGATTCAGTCAAAAAGAAAGAGCAGCACGCCGCGCGGCCCGTCAGTTTACACCGCGCGACAAGCAACGCGTCAATTATTCGACGCGGACCTCGCCGGATAATAACTTTCCCACGTCGGACCGTGTGAAAAGTTGCGCGCGAAAACACACCCATACTCATTGGCTCTCAACACACACACACACACACACACACACACACACACACACACACACCACAACACACACACACACAACACACACACACACCACATCCACGCAGACATGCAGAGTAGTGAGCCTCGTGTTGACTCGATCAGGCAGTTAGCGATGGGCCGAGGGCAGGCCGAGGGCCGAGCCAGACCCGCATTGATTCAATAAATCTGATGAATCGGTCCGGTCGGGGTCGGTCCGGACGGTCCGGTAGGCCGGCTGTTGGTCAAACAGGCGAATTGGGAGTCGAGGGATAGGAGGTAGGTTCGTGGTTCGCGGTGCAGCACCGAGGCTGGAAACTCACGGACATCGCGGGAAGAAAGGTGGGTGGGATGACAGGGGAAAATGACAATTAAGTTCACCTTAAAATAAGCATGTCAGCCGATGTTGCCTACGTGCATGCATGCTTGCCTACATCTACGGACCTCCGGGGAGGGCACTGCTTCGCTCGCTCCCCCGCCACTGCAAGTTATCTCGGAGACGCGAGAACGTCTTCGCCCGCGGGTTGCCGTTGCCCGAGGGCGGAGGCCTAATTCGGGAATTAAGAGCTCCAGAGACTTCAAAGCGCCAAGTCGCAGTTCTTCTTCACATGCAGATCGGGCCTTTGTTTGGGCGGCCCAGGGCCTGCCGCGCTGCCCGGCTCGGCAGACAAAGCGCCGCCCAGCGCCGCCAAGCGAAGCGCGTTCGCCTACTTCATTCTCCTTTTTATGTTGATTCAGATTCCAAAGAGGGGAATTATTCCTCTCTCGCTCTCAGACTCTTCATTGCGGCCCAACTACGGCCGGGGCCGCAGAGCCATGGTCCCGCCATGCATGCCAGACGGCGGCGCGCGCAAGGACTTGGTCACCAGATTTGTAGGCGACCAGGGACTTGCCGAAATAGTCTGCCAACTGCTCGCACGCGCCTGCCAGCCGCTGCCAACGGTGACTCCTGCACGCCTGCCACCAGATCCGTCTAGCGCCGCACGCCCTGCCACGCCCTGCACGGCGAAGCCCTGCCAGGCCCCTGCCACGCCCTGCCACGCCCTGCATGCCCTGCCACGCCCTGCCACGCCGTGCCACGCCCTGCCACCAAGCCCTGCCATGCCCTGCCACGCCCTGCCACCAAGCCCTGCCATGCCCTGCCACGCCCTGCCACGCCCTGCCACTAAGCCCTGCCTTGCCCGTCAAGAGCGAGGGTTACTTGCACGACGTCGATGCGACATTTTCCACCTGGGAGCGCGGCTTGCGCGACGTACTCGCTGCCAAAATGAGCAGTTTGTCGTCCCCACGATGCAGCCTGCAGAGCCGGTCGCAGGCGACACCAAGCAAGCACGCACTGATGAGAAATTCACCGCGCGACCTCGTCTACACCCTGCTAGCAGGCCACCATGGCCACCGCGTGGGGCGGGGTGAGGGTGGAGCTCCAACCTCACCCCGCCCCACGCGGTGGCCACGGTGGACAAGTTTCTCCAGGCATGGCGAGGCATGCCTGGTGCACCTTGCGCACCTCGCGGTCCATTCAGGCGAGCGGAGTACACTGCGAAAGCCTGCAGCAAGCCGAGGAGTGGCGTCCCGACGTGGGAAGGAGCCAGCAGGCAGCGCGACCCCGGTTAAAAGCACTGAAAAACACTTGGTGAAATTTTAATCTGGGAACGGGGGCGCCGCGCCGGCCGAGCCGCGCCGATAGAGGCGAGATGGGACGAATCGGCACCAGGCCCCGCAGCGCCCCGCAGCGCCCCATCCCGTGTTTCCCAGGCACTGGTACACTGGTACCCCAAATCGGGAGTGCCTTTCCGATATCCTGGAGCGAGAGCTGGTAGTTTGCGAAGCGCGGCAGCGCGGCAAGGAGTGTGGGGCCGCGCCGCGCCTAATTGGACCCAGAACGCAGCGACCAACGCAGCGCCGCTCCGGATTCGATGGTGTGTACTTTAAGGAAGCACCCCGCCCACCCCCCTCTCTTCCCCCACGCGACCTCGGCGCTCGTTGCTGTAAGCTTCGCGGGGGAGCTTCGAGAAGCTTGGCGCAGTGGGGAAATTTGCCGGCACTGCGTTCATAAATTATGTATCTTTTCCATGCATACTACCCGGCCCGGCCCGCCCGGCCCGGCGCACCACGGGCACCGCGGGCACCACGAGGCGCCCCGCGAGCCGGGCGGCAGTGCCTCGCAGTGCCTCGCAGTGCCTCGCAGTGCCGTGGCCCCGGCACGGCACCTCCCCGACGGCAACTTGAGTGGATGGGTATACGGGTGCTCCTGGGGGATGCGATGGCGGCAGGGAGGGATACTCGCTGACGGGGTCGATGAAGGAGATAAAAGAGAAAGTTTGGGCCGCTCGCCACGGCCCGGCCTGTCCCGGCCTGCAGGGCCTGCCCCGAAGATCCTCTGCTTTGGAATATAACCGCCGCCCCCTCCCCCCCCCTTTTCTTCGGGGTCCGCGACTGGCATTCGAACACGCAGAGCGCGCAGAGCCGTCCGCGGCGCTGCCGGCGCGCGGATCTTGTCCAGCGCATCTTTTGTTCGGTTCCGCCAAACTTTCCTTCCGTGTGGAGGGGGGAGGGGGAGGGCCGGTCACGTCCTGCAGCAAAGGGGCGGACTGGGATGAAAAAATATGCCAAGAGGCGAGCTTCGCGAGGTTTATAAATGGGATTCGAGAAAAAGGGGTGTGGGATCGAGAAAAACGTGTTTCGAGGGCCACGGTGGCGCGATACAGTGATCCCCTGATGCTGCTGCGCGAGATGCAAGGAAATCAGGTCAGAAAATGTTTATCGAATCCGTTTTTGCCTCCTTAATGAGGAACAGGAGATGGTGCAATCAAGCCCGCTGCTCATACCCCCCACCCCGAAACGTCCGAGCCACCAAAAAAAAGGAGCGGAAATCCCAATCCCGCTGGAAACGGTGCATCGTGTTCGGAGGGCTGGGCGGGGCTTTGGAGGGGGGGGGGGAGTTAGTCCGGCGGGAGAGCCGATATGTAATACTTTTCTTTCCCTTGTTCCGCTCCGCCAGGTTCTGCCTCAATTTTTTAGTTAATCCCGCGACGTGCAACGCGCGGGCGGCGGCAGGTCGCGGAGAAGTGAACCAGCCGTGAGGCCCCCGTCCCTACTCCTCTCACGGAGAGAAAAGATACACAAAAAGACGAGCGCGCGCCTTAACGGTCTGAAATTGATGGTGTTGACGGTTCGGCCGGCTAACGTCTGGCAGCAACAGGGAGGAACGTTGTGCCGCGTAACGTGCCTAACGCGAACACGGATCGGCCTGGGATCGGGCTCGCTCCGTCCCAGGAGGGACCACGGGGGGGCCCACGGGGGCCGCCGGCGGTGGGCAGCGCTGGCAAGCGCGTTGCCTATGGTCGACTTTCTTCATGGCCAGATGCAAAATATTACTGTTGTTCTTATTGGGATGCACGTCCGAAATCAAAGAAACACAACTAGTGTTTAACCCGATGGAGTTTCATCGCTCTGGCATCACAAGTTCAGCAAAAGCGCATTCTGATCAGGTGCAGTATGCCCTCCAGGCTCGCCGGACAGATTGCACACACTCTAAACCATCGCATCACGCTCAGTAATCGTGGCAAGGGATTGAGGCCCGGTCGTAGCCGGTCGTAGCCGGTCGTAGCCGAGCGACTGACAGGCGCCCCCACACCTCAACACGTAACACCCGAAGCACCCTCGCCTTGCCTTTGACATCGCGCGACGCGCCTGTTGTGCATGTGATTGGGCGGCAGCATGGCGGCAGCATGGCGGCAGCTAGGGGGCAAGGCAGGGCGAGGCAGGGCGAGGCGGCGCCCTACCCTCTCCTCCACCACAAGCCAGCCACTAAGCTGACAACTTGGCCTGGTGCAGTGTCTGCAGAGCAAACGGTCCTTGGCCCGGAAATCAAACGCGGTGCTTATCTGGCACTTCCGCTGAGCAGCGCGCCGCGCAAGCCGCGCTCACAGTGTACGCGCCGTACACGCCCACTCTCGGATCGCAACAAGAAGTGGGCCACGGGAAGTGGCCGAGAAACAAAGCAGTTTCGGAAAATAAGTCTCTTCTTCCGGCGGAGTAGGGAGCACGCCCGTGTCAAGCCGTCACCCGAATAAGTCCCCCCTGACGCGCGCGGCGCGCGCGGGCTTACCATTAGACAGGAGGACGACGGCGAGGATGAGGACGAGCAGCGTGCGGCGGTCGGGGCGCATCTCGGCGGCCCTGGGCTCGGCGGCCCTGGGCTCGGGGGCCCTGGGCTTGGCGGCCTCCCCGCACATGGCGCTGGCGCGCATTCACATATCAAACCGCAACTGGTTGGTCTGGCAGGCTGGCGCGGCGCTGTGGCGGTGCAGCCTCCCGGATGCGCCTTTCCGGCCGACTCTAGTGTTTATTTTTTTATTTTTCCTCTTGACACACTTTGCGTATAATCCGTTTCACGCGGCTTGCTGCGGTCGACTCAGCCACAGCCACACACTGCTAACACAGGAAAGCCCAGGCCGGCTGGACGCCAAAATGCCATCCTCCGTCCTGCTACTCCGTCTTCGAGGGCCTGGCCTCCACTGCAGCACTGACATCCACGGGGAACGGCACAGCGACGACGACGATGCCGATGCTCGGCGTCAACGCGCTGGCCACACTACAGCAGCCTCACTAACGCTCGCGTGGACACACTGTGTCACACGGGTCCGAACTTGGACGGGAGAACGAGCCAGCACGACGGAAGAATTGCCTCGCCGGCGACACGCCGCCGGGTGCGAGGGGTAGGCTCGAGGTGGTGGCGGAACTGCGCCAGGCTTCGCGTGCTTCGCTAAGCTGCGCGCCACGCGATGTCACGCACGACGTCGCTCCCTCGGCCGGGCCGTGCGCTGTGCTGTGCGGCGAGGTCTGGTCGTCGGAACGCTTCGGGGCGACAACCGCGCGGGAACTGACTGAACACTGGCTCTGGCGCTGCTCGCGCGTCCGCGTCGCTGTGCTGCGCGGAGGGGCTCTAGCAGACCAGGGAACGGTAGGGAAGGGAGGGGAAGGGGCGGTAGGGGTGAGAGTGGGGCGGTAGGCGGACCGCCTGGCCCGGCTCGGCAGAGCCCAGCATAGCCCCGCATAGCCCGGTCCTACCCGGCCCTCGTCCCTTCTCTCCGCCCCCGCCTGGTCCTACCCTCCTGCCTTGCCCTTCCTCAACCGCTGGCGCCCTTCCTACCTCGTGCAGCCCAGGACAAAATGACCATTGGCCTCTAGCGCGGTGGTGTGGTCTGCGTGTGCGGGTGTCTCGGCATCATTTGTGGTCCAGTCATTGATCGCAATCGCAACCAGCATCACATGTCCCTGTAGGCAAAATACACACAATCGCCCCTCCTGTCGCGCACTCCTTAAACCGTGCCTCGGCCAGGCGGGCTGAGCCGAGCGAGTGCCTCGTGGTGGCTCGCTACCAAACAGCGTGCGTGCGGTGGGCGTCTCGGCATGGCACGCGAGCCACGACCTTTTAACTAGAGACAAGGCTGTTACGCACCGACGTTGACCCATTATCGTCGAACTGCCAAGAAAATAGGCTATTCCTCTCTTTCGCACTCGCGGGAAATCCTAGCCTCCCTTGTCATTCGGTGACCTGAACTCTCGAGGGAACTAGGGAGAACCATAGTTTATCTCCACACCAACTTTTTCAATGAATTTTCGTTTCCACATCATTTGTTGAGGTAAGGTGAATCAAGTATCTTGATCGTTTTCAATTATTTATTTATTAATGTATCGATAGGAAAATAAAAGAATTATTTCATTTGCAGCAGAAGCCCTTTCCCAACACATACATAATAATGAAAGATTTGAAATAAAAGATATTCTTTCATTTGACCCTTTCCAAACTAAGCAGACACAAATGTGGTTTGGTGCCTACGAAACTTGACAGATCAAAGTAACTCTTGAACAACAGAATCAGATTCCAGCTATATGTAATACTGAACTGGTTGAGAAAGCCTAAACATTTGTAAAAGGGAAGACAAACTTGCAGTTACTAAGAGGAAAATAAGGAAGAAAGCAGTTAAGACAAGATGTCTATTGCTCTTTGAAAGACTGAAGTAAAAAGTTCATAGCAGGCAAATAGCTCCTGCATAATTTCATTAACATAACCACAGATCTAAAATTTCTTGATGAAAATGTCTAACACTTGTAACAAACCAAAGTTTCATTCTTATAAACAAAAGGGACTCTGATTTGTCTTATCAATTAACTCAGTACTATAGGGGTTCCCATTTCTATTTTGACATCTCTTCTACTTTAGTAGTAATAATTTATAAAGATGACATTGTCAAACACATTTTCTAGAGGCATGTTAGTCATAAACAGCAATAAAATAGCTTATACCACATACTAAATAATAGTAATGGTTAATTAACAGTTTGCAAAATCACAAATTTAGTAATACAACAAACCTTACTTTTTATCAGTCTCATAAGTAAGAACAGTATCTTACATTCTGTATTCATGATCCCAATTTCATGCAACAGCAACTAAACATGACCAAATAAAAAGTTAACATTTATAACAACAAACGCTATTGACACTTATGAGGCATTTTGAGGGAATATGTATGTATCATAGCAAGTCACAAAGGACAAAACTGCATACATTTATTTTCGAATCGATGCTTTATGAAAGAGTGCAAAAGACCAGAAGTACCATGATTGGCAGCTCATATTGGCAACTGCGTTGGTCTGATACCCCGTGGCAGTTTTAAACAGAGTTGAAGGGCTTTTGTGTTTTGCCCATTTCAGTCCATCTTCAATACCACACTACTCTGATAATGCCTTGCCGTCTTATATGCCAATGATAAAAACAGTATTTGTAAGAGCAGAGATACATATAACTTCACTTAATTGATATTTGATAGTCTGACTATTGCAAACACATTTCCGTCACATAAGATAATCAACACAGCCACCAATTTTTTGGAAAAACAAAATACACTTTTTCTGTTAACAATGGCACTATTTCTAGTCACAACTTAGGTAATTAACAACACAGTAAAATAGGATACATGAAATAGACCTCACACTGCTCCATTCTTGATTCTTGAGAAGCAAAGTGAGGTAAAAAGCTCATGTGCATTCAGGTTCCACATGGGACCTTGATGAAAGCTGCATTATCTTGTGGTTAAGCATAGCATTGTGTTCTTTCAAATATCTAATCAAATCCGCTTGTTTTGCCAGGAGATCATGAATCTGTTCATTTGGTTCTCTGCGCATAGATAAAGCAAGGCAATTGGTGAGATAAACATGTCCAAAAGAGCAAGACAACACAAATAGAACAAACATAAATAATACAACAATACCTGTAGCCAACTTCCCCACCAGGAAAGCTGTCACGCACAAAACTCATCATCCAATCTTCCCTTTGGACGTCAGGAGGTGGTCTTGTCTCATTGAACCTGCGTACTTTCACTGGAAACACATCAGAACAGACAGAGAGTAAGATAGCATTAGGTACTAAGAAAAGATAAGACAAATTAAAAAACAGTACACATGATGTCAGCAAACTGTACCTAAGTATGTCATTAGAACTGGAATCAGTATACCAGTTTCTAAAGTCATAATAGCCCCGATCACATTGTTGGGAGAAAGGGATGATGTTTGAGACATACATCGCTGTTCCAGATCGCCATAGACATTGTGATAAATAGATGTTATTACCAGTAAAACAGCATTCCCTGTAAAAATATAAAGAATGACAAAGAAGTCAGACCTACCAAAGTAACATATTCATGTAATTAACTGATAAATTAGTTAAATGATTCATAAAATTTATCCAACACCCAATGTTTGGGCAGAACACTTGCTTAAAGTTGTGCTAAAACTTACATAGAGAAATTATGTAAAATGGTATTCTAATGTGGGCCTCAGTCTGTTTGTAAAAGTCCAGATAACCATTGACTCGTAACATGCGATGTTTCAATTTTAAATGCTGATGCAAGATCTGAAAAAGAAGCTTTAATTTTATATCTGGAATTTAAAATGTAAGGATGTTACAATTTGACTATATATACACCCACCCAGCTGATACACCAGTAGGCAGCATGAATGTACACAAGTAAAAAGAATGGTTCACATTTGTATCTGAATTCTGGCCACAGACAGAGAAGGACTATTATTGTCACCTGGGTAAGTACCTATAAAATAGAGAATATAAATAAAGTAAAATTGTATCAAAATATTTGACTAGAGGCAAATAAAAACATGGCGTAACTAAGATAGCTTACAATGAGACATAGCTTCAACATGACTGGAACAAAAGTGTGCAACTTTCGAAAACCCCCAATTTCATCGGACCCATGGAGCGGTTGAAGGCCTTGAACATCCTCATCATCCCCATTGATTAAACCATCATTGAAGAACACTCCACCCTGAAAAAAATAAGGACACAGTTGTGTAGCCAAACATGAAACATGGCATGCCCTGATAACGATAAGAATACAAGAAAGTAAAACAAATACACCAGAGTCAATAAAACTATGGTATTATACAAAGGAGTTTTAAGATCACTAATAAACGTAGTATTTGTCCCGCATCTTTCAAAAATACAGCTTTAAAAACATTGAAACAGTGTAGCGATAGGAAAAAACTTAAAACCATACCCCAGCAGAGGTGTTGACCCTCCGTGTCAAGCTGACCATTCTTGATGGAATATTCAACTGGAAATAAAAAAACTACAACCGTGCGAAGAGGGGTAAACTAGAGTACAGTATCATAACCCATGTATTCATGAGCCGAAACAAAGTTTGGTATTCGACGAGCCGCAGTATTGCCGACCAAGTGGTGCACACACTTAAAGCCACAGACAGGTTCTTAGAAGTTAGCTTTAATGAATCTACATTTCCAGCTAAGGTGGCCAAAGGAACAAACAAGCACAACGAGCACAACCAAGATTACTCATAACATGACGGAAAAATTATTTTGTTGTTTTTCACACGGAGTCCGTTTAAGCTAGTATGAGAAACTGCTAGTTCGCAAAACCGTCCTACAGTTGTCGTTTTTAACCATATCTGTCCACCTATAACATCATTGTGAATGCCAAAAAGTAACTCTATACAATTTTCGAACACTTATCATTCCCATTCAAAACAAAGCGTATAATAACATTGTGACAACATTTGACGCCGGATGTAAAGTAAGTAAATGCTCATACATGCTGCAAGTAAACTAAACTTTCAAATGGTTTGTTGCCAACTACTGTGGGTTCGCGCACGCGCTTGCCTCATCCCATTTCATGATTGAACTTCCAAAAGTGCCAATTTCATCCATTCATGAGCCTCTCACGATTATTTTGAAACTAATACCGGACTCTTTGAAAATTACTTTGCGGTTTTATATAGCACCCTGTTGCTTCAAGTGTTAGCTACCCGGTTCGCGGCTCGCGGAAAAACTAGGGTGCGATGCGAAACAAGAGGGCAGTGAATGAAGGAACAGCGAACAGCTGGCATTTGGGCATTATCAACATGTCGGCTGCAGAGTCGGTAGTTTCCTCAATACAACATTATCAAAAAAGTATACAGAAGTATCATGGAAATTCTTCCAGGGTAAGGCCCATGGCACGCTCCTTCCCCTGACACTCTGTCTCGCTGTTTACGTTGGTTCTTAGGTCAGCAATCGATGGGACCTGTTCACATTCAGAGCACCAAGGACTATCATGACGTCCAAAACGTTAAGGAAGAAACAACTTTTTTTTTTTCGTGGACCCATCTTTAATTTGTATTTGTTTGTGATGAATATGGTCGCTAATTTCTGGCTACTACCATTTTGAACTTTGTGTTTTCTGTTAATTAATTTTCCTTGGCTATCAGGTTGAGTCTGTAATAACGTTTCCTGCAAGAATTGTTTTATATGAATGTTTGTCATTTATAGAATATTTTTGTTTTGATATGATAAAACCAACAAGGAAACAGTTAGCCTATGCATTTATAGCTTGTGTCAATTTATTTGTGTTTATAAATACTTAAATGTAATGCTGACAATGATTTCTATTTTAACTTTCTTGTTTACTTTTTTTTCAAAAATGTGATTCATGTGTTGTCGTTTTTGTTGTTTTTCTGTAGATTCTTCATTGTATCAACAGATTGTATCAGTTACCAGTGACAGTACAACATCTGCAAGACACTGGAGTAGGGAAAACAATCAATTCTCTAAGAAAAAGTGAGGGTGAAGTTGGAGAAGCTGCTCGGGCCCTTGTTTTAAAATGGAAGCAAATGGTTGAAGATGAGCCTGAAAATGAACCAGATAGTACCACCAATTCACATGCTCATTCAAGTTACAATGGGGACTCTGAAAATGAAAGTAATGGTGAAAGACTGTATAAGCGAGGCAAAGATAAGACAGAAAAGTCATCAAGAGATAGAAAAGAGTCTCCCAAGCATGACCATGGAAAAAGTCAAAAAAGGAAAAAGGAACCTGATTACAACAATCAGAAAGAGAAGAGACACAGAAGTGAGAATGACTACAGTAGCCATAATTCAGTTCCTAACTCAGGAGGAAATGTTGAAAGTGAAGATGTTTGTTCAGATGGGGAATGGCATGCTAGTACCTACAAGAATGGCGATACTAATAGTGATGATGACAGTTGTTTTGGAAATGGTCTCACTAAAGGAGAAAGGCATTTAAGTTTAGACGAAAATGCACTTTCGGACCATGATGCAGACAATGATCATCTAGCTCAATCAATAGACAAAGAATCCTTCCACAGCAAAGAAAGAGATACTAGACGACAGGAAAAGTCTAATAAGAAAGAAAAGTCTTCGTCCCATAAGCACAAAAGTAAGAGCTCCTCCAGCAGTTCAGACAAAAACAAACATTCATCATCTTCCCAAAGCGCCCACAAGGAAAGTAAATCATCATCATCATCAAGCAGTAGTAGACACAAAGATGACAAAAATATGTCAGGTTCAAGTTTTAAGAAAATGGAAACCAGTGTAACTGAAAGAAGTGAAGACAAGTCAAAAAGCAAGGATAAAAAAGAGAAGCATAAAGAAAAACATCGGAGCAAAGAAGACAAAAAATCCAAAGATAAAAAAGAAAAGATAAAGAATGAAGAAGAAGATGGAGTAGATTCATTTTCTGGTGAGAGATTCTTTTAAATTATTCTTTTCTCCTTGTGCATGAACTACCATGTGTGTTCCTTTCAGCAATTCACTTTTGTATATGTTTGCAGGCATTGGTTTTGGTGAGGCGCTTGGCATGATGTTTCCACCTGAAAAAAATAAAAAGAAGACAACATCAAGTATTTCATTTTCAATGTCACCTTCAAAAAAGAAATCTAGGCCCTCTACCAGCTCTGTTGACAGGAAATCACAGGCAAATGAGGTAAGAGAGAAGCATATTATATTATTATTAAACTACAAACCTATCTATCAGTTGTATTCTTGATCCTTACTATTATTAGACTGAATTTAATATTAGTGGTGAATACTGAGAACCCAAGTTCTTGTATCTTTGCTGAGTTAGCCTTGGCAAAAAGTTCATATGCCGTTTAAATTTTCCATGTCATGCTCTAATGCTCGTTTTGGATTGTCTTCATCCATTCTTTGCAGGCCAGGCATAGCTCTTCATCTTTGAACATTGGGCAATCTCTTGAGATAGATGCGGATTATGGACTTCCAACCCTCAATCCAAACTACAAACCTTTACCTCAGCCTGTCTTCTATAATTCCCCACCTAAACGATACCAGACAGAGGAGGACGATCTATCAAACATTATGTACTCCAAAGTTCAAAGGTATAGTATTGAAATAAAAAAAAACATAACAATTTTTTAGTTTTTTAAATTTTGTAGTTTAATGTTTTAATTTTGTAGTTTTGATGTTTGTTTGCTTTTTGTTTATATTTGCTTATCATACCTTGTCATTTGCAGAACCAAAGTTTTCTCAGGAAATAAAACTGGATACACTTATGTGCCTTCTCTCTTTGAGTTATGTACAAGAGTCCTGCAGGAAAATATTGATGGTAATCTTAATCCTCCGTGTTACATTTAACATATTACTAGTATTTAAGAATTTGTCTTGTACCTAACTTGTTGATTGTAACAGCTTTAGAGTATACTGGAGGTGTCCCTTTTGACCTACTTAAGCCTGTTTTGGAAAGAGCGACAGCTGAGCAGCTGTCCACCTTGGAAGATTATAATGCTTACTTGATTGAGGATACTGATGTCTTTTGGGAATTTCATTGCAAGAAAGAATTCCGTAATAAAAATCGTGAGGAGATGGAGACATGGAGGGAAATGTATGCGGTGAGTTATGTTCCCTTGAGTTTCTCTTCAAGAAACATCAGTTGGACTTCTGAGAGTTATTCTTGACATTAGTTTTAATGTATTTGCGCCTAATCATTCTTTGAAAAATGTGTTTTGCCATTTTCCCACAGAGATGCCAGCAAGAACGTGCAAGTAAACTTAAGTCCCTCACAGCACATATTGCTGCTGCATCTAAAGCAAAAGAAGAGCCAGTGCGGAAGACAAAATTAGCTTACATTGAGGGTACAGTCAAGCCACCCCGGGGTATTGCAAGAAAACAGGTATTTGGTTACTCCTCTAAGGCAGCCTCTGCACTTATCCTTTATCTCCCCTCTTTAACTCATTTTGGAATTTTCAAATGTTTCTATCACAGGCAAGATATGGCACTGCTCATGCATCTTCTTCTTCAACTTCAAAGCAGGATTCTTCTGCGATGGGATCATCTTTCACAGGGAGATCCTCTTCACTGGCATCGACAGGTCCAGCTGTATCTGTGCCAGCCCCTCGAGGAGCTGGTGGTAGTTCCAGCTCACAGTCTAGTGAGTTCTTTTTTTATTTTTTATTGGTTTTGTGTAGCATACACACTATTATTGTCATTAATTTCTCATGCACAAATTTGTTTCTGTTGGTATTTATTGTGGCTACATCTAACAGTGCTGTCTGATTCCAAGGCCCCACACCTGTGCTTGTACTAAAGATAAATCTTCTGTGTGTTGCAGGTACTTGCAAACCAAAACCTAAAGCTCCACTTATGCAGAAGGCTCTGCAGCTCATCAAATACAATAGATTCAAGCGATGATTGCCCTATAATTTTAGCATTTGATTTATTGTTTCTTACCTGTGGATTCAATTTTGGAAGAGTTGCTTTACCAAAAAAAAGAAAAAGAAAAAAGCAAATCAATATGTTTTTCCTTTTAAATATTGTTCTTTTTTTTTTTTAATCTACAAATCCTATGAGATTATGGAACTAAAATTACTCATTGGTATTGCTGACTAGTGTGTTCACAAGTTTTACTGTCTTCAGAGGAAATCGATTTAGCTCTAAGGCTATTTTTTAACAGCGGCAATGTTAACTGAGATGGGACATACGTATTGACTAGTCGAACATTCTATATTTACATGCATATGAACTGCAAAACTATCTCTATTTTCAAGGCTTGTAAACCCTTGCTGCGGGTTATGCATGTGCGGATTGCATGCATGCAAATGTGATAGTCCATTAAAGACTTCAAGTGAATCTGTTGTTACCACCCTAAAACTTGTGGAATGGGTGGTGTTGACAGATTTTGTGATCTGTCTTTGCTGTACATATATTTAGTCATGCTCCCCTTCTCCCTTTTTGTCCCTATTTTATGTATCATTTGTTAGACCAGCAATGTGCCCTAAGTTTATGTTCAGCTTGAAAATTTGAATGATTTGTGTGACTCTAGGAAATGGTGATGGAAATCTTAAACTTTTAAGTCACATTGTTTGCCACGTCTGATGTTTTTAGCTCATACTTTTGTTTTATATGTATTTATGGTTCTGGCTTTAGTATTGGGGTCAGACTTGTTTACATGAATCACATCCATTTGCCAGAGCAACTATTATTATCCACATGTGTCTCGATTTAGTTCACTTCATTCTCCCTGGTTTAACTCCGTATCAAATGGTATGATTTATCAGGAAAGAAAGGCTGTGACTTATAGTTAATTGCATCCTGATTTTATCACCACCACACCAATCTGTTGATGTTTTACAGTCCTACTGTTGCTTATTCATGAAGATTAGGAAAAGTTGACCAGCTTTGAAAGTTACCTCTTGTGGCTCTACTACAGTGCTGGTCATGGAAAGCTACATCACGCTGTTTGGTCCAGATTCAATAAAGAATTTATTCCACTCTGCACAACTTTGGAGAACTTTAAGTCCATATTAGCCTTGAATCCTGCCTCAGCACAAGCATCTTCTTTTAATCAGACACGAGTGAAACAAAATGGAGTAAAGAGTTGACAGAGAGACTTCTTTACGAACAATTTATTACAAACAATACACACGATACAATCATTCACGGTCCCTGCTGTACAGCTAAGTTCAGTAAGAACAAAACAAAAGACAGGATAGACTTCAGCTTACTGATGGCAAATATCATCCATGTATAAGTAAGATTTCATGACATACGTTCTTTGGTTCTGAATACTATTCAGCACTTCTTACACAGTAAGTTGCCATGAAAGAACCAACTACATTCAAAGTTTCAATAAAAAGATGAAAGCCAAAGTGACTACTTATGCTTAGCACACACCAACAACATTCATTAAAACATTTCTATCCAGCTAAGCTCTCTTTCGTTTGTTCTTTTGGTTCCTCTCCTGTCTTTCTACTCTTCTCTAGGAAGACAATTTGTTCTGCAATAATAGCAGCCTGATTAGAATGGAACTGTTTTCCATCTTCCGTGCTTTCTGCAGCTTTGTACGCTACACGACCAGTGATGTACACACGCTGCCCTCTGTCTACATTGTTGAACACAAGGTCACCCAAAGTTTTCTTGACAAAAAGAACTTTGTGCCAGCATGAATATATTTTAGCTGTAACAGAGAAAGAAAAAACCGTTTGGAAACTTCCTGTAATTTTACACAGCATTTAAATGATAGAAAAATGAAGCTTCACACCACAGGCAAAAAAAAAAGGCATGCTTAAAGAACCAACAACTTACTAGAGCCATCCTTCAGTCTCACACTTGATTCGGTATACAGAGGAAATGCAACTGCCTCATTTGCGCCAATTTTCCTTGGTTCGGTGCCAACTCTTCCAAGCAACTCAATGTGATTAACATCTGGAAAGAACACAAAATTGTCAATTTTCACTGTGGAAAAGAATGACTTTGCATTGTACTTCAACTGAGAAAATTGAACAGAACGACTTGACATGGAACTAGCAACACGAAGTGAAGAGTGTCAAACTCAACATTTCACATTAAATGTCTTTGCATATGTCAATGATTGACAGAAAATAGGAGTTTAGCACTAGAGCTTCCACAAAACAAGAACTTAGAGCATAAATTACACTATTTACAGTAGACACACTCTATCATATTTTGGGGAACATTAAGAACGCATTCCTGAAGAAATGAGAAGAGCTCCAACCTCGCCTTGAGGCTGGTTACAATACTGTTTCACGGATCTCTTTCATTGCCTCAGAAACTAAGGAAAAATTAGGTTAAACTCAAATCTCCACAGTAGGCAATGTAGACTAAAGCCACCCCGAAGGTATAACTTACATCTGCCGTTAGAATAGGCTCGTGCTACGTGGGCGGCAGTAAGCGAACTTGAGCTCGATCTAACAGCTTGTTGCAACACCTGGAAACAAATCGACGCATATTCAAAGCACACTTGGATAAAAAGAGCAAAGGAGGCAACGGATAGCGGTGAACTGGCCACTGGCGCACATGGGAGCTAACCCCACTTCGACTTCATTTCAAACAAACTTAACAAAGTGACGTTTACAGTTTAAGGATCAGAAAGTTCAATAAACATGAACGTGACGTGGAGGACTTGAGTAAGCGAAACAAATCTTGATGGGTTAAAACTAGAATAAAATAGGCCTTTCTTAAAAATCCATTCATGATCTACTCCTTAGCACAGATTCACAGAACTTTGAAAGGTGATGTTTGAAACTATAATGAAACCAAACTTACGTTTCTCAAAGCCATGACTGTACACTATTTATAAAGAAATAATGAATATAGTTTGATGTTTTCGAAGGAAATAAAAAAATAATTCCGTTAGCGAGATGGAGGGTGAACGAGAGCAGCCGACCGAGGAGGGGAGCGGAGATCACAGAACCGGATGGACATAGAAGACCGGCAGGGAAGGGAAGAACCGGAAACCCAAATAGAAGGCACTGCAGCGCGCTCCTCAAAATCGATGCCGTTTGGGATAGGTCAACGGCTTTTAATCTGTCTAAGCCATCCTACCAAGGTTTAATCAGGTTTAATCCCAATCTCAGTGCGTCTTGGGGGTGCGCCCTTGGGTGCCTTTACCAACCACAAGAACTGCCGCATGGAGTTCACAGTCTTTTACCCCCTCCCACTCTCACACACACACACACAGACAGACACACACAGACACTCGAAGTTGAGAGGCGCAAGCAAGCAGAAGAGTGAAGAGTAAACCTTGAAACCCAGTGCAACCTGAACCTGAAGCCTTGAGAGGAAAGGAAGTGAACCTTCCGATCATGTTTAAAAGGAAATTGGCCGCCTTGGATCACCATGCGCCTGAATCAGTCAACATCAATGGCAAGTGCTCCCTCGTCTTTGGAGTCTGTAGGCGGACTGTCAAATGCACAGCCGGCTAACCTAGCAAGTTTGTCAACAAGGCGACTGTATGAGTTTGTGGCAGAAACAAACTAGTTCTTGACACTTTGAATGCGACTCGATCCCTTGTCTCTTGGTTTCAACTTGCAGCAGCTGATTAGTTTTCATTGCTCATCACTGCGTTGTTACGTTACTTCCTCAACTTCTGGTTTTGCCCTTTCTTTTTCAGCTTTTTGGGCTGTTTTATTAGACATACATATAATATTAACTGTATGGCTTGTGTGTTGCAGATGAAAGGGAGATTAAAAACTTAGTTTTGTGGTTGGAAAATCAGAAAATCCGGCGCTACAAAATTGAAGAAAGAGGTCCTTTACAAGCAGAAGGCGAACAATGGCGTGCTAACTTTGACAAGTATTGTAGGGATCTTGCCAGTCCCATAGTAGATGGTGCTATGGCAGAAAAACTTGAATGGCTCATTGGTTATGCAATCAGCCTCGAATATGCTGACAACGGTAGGCTTCTTCATTCTGGTTCTTACTTTTCTCATTTTCACATCTCATTTAAATGGCATAATTTTTTTGGATTTTAATTTATGTTTCTTTTAGCTGAAAAATACAGAGGTCAAACAGCACAGAATATTAGCCAAACTATTGTTAATGTACCAAAAGTGGAATCATCAAATCCTCTGGATAATTTGGACTGTAAGTCATTTGAAAAAAAAATTAAATGAAAGCTTGTACCTTTTCTTATTATTAACTTGATGTTTTTGGGTCGTTTTTTTTTTGTTTGTTTCTTTGTCATAGTTGAATCTTCAGATTTTAAGAAGGGGGTTATAGCACTTGCTCAAATTTTAAATATAACACCCCATCCTGATCATTTGGTCACTCTGAAAGCTGTTAGTAAAGTAGTCAGGGAAAGATTAAATCAAGATGCCCTAGATAATCCTAGCAACATCATTGTAAAAGTAAGTTTATTTGAATTTAACTTGTGGATCATAATTTACTTCCGTAATACCAAAACGTGTTTTTCTGTTTCAGGGAAAACCTTTTCCATTTCAAGAAGCTGATCTAGGATTCGACATGGGAGACTATGTCCTGAATGAAGCTGCCAAAATTCTCCGCCTTCTTTACATTCACGATTTGAGAAACTTGCAAACGCACATCAATGAAACAATTGTTGCGGTTCAGTCAATTACCGCTGATCCTAAGACAGACACAAAACTGGGACAAGTTGGGCGGTAGTGGCTCCTCAATCAGTCAGGACTGGTACTTCTATTAAAGTGCCATCTGTATGGATAATGATCAAACTTCTCTATTGTTTTACATTGTTTCCAATGCTGACAAATAAGTAGAAAATTTATTAACTTTGAGAACATTTTTCCATAATGCTTTGTATTTCTGTTTTGCGCTACTACTTTTGTCAATCTTATCGTATCGATTTGTCCCATGCTTTGTATTGTATTTTACTGATCCATCACAGTGGTAGTTTGTTTTAAAATACCTCCATTAACATTACTCTAAGGCCTATTATCATTGTGAAAAGCATTTGTAATTAGATATGCTGTATGTTTATTGACAAAATATCACCAATTAATTCTGCAACAGATATAAAGTACTATAGGTACAACATCTCAAGACAATGTTTTTCTTTACCACAGTACTTCATAACACTACTATTCAACACAGTCTGTCGTCAAATGTTATTCTGTTGAAGTTTTCTCTCGGAACATCCCTCCGAAGGGAGGGGCATTGAATGCACGAGCCAAACCAAGAGCACCAAGGGCTGGAACAGAAGCAACATTTAATATCTTGAACATGGAAGGCTAAAATGTGAGCTTGACAATGGAAAGGGGCAATGACCTGAAGCAAGGGAAAGGATGCCCAACCGTTTGATGCCCGTCGCCGGGGCATGCATCGCCAGATAAGTGCCACCGCCTATTCCATAAGCAGCCCCAAGCCCACGACAAACGATGCAGTCCGGTTTCGGCGAGGCCTCCATGTCCGCTGTCTGAGCGTCGTTTTCGCTTTGCGGGAAACGAAACACAACATATCAGCTCATTTCAACAAAGGCAGAACCTGTCGGTTGGCGTTTCGCAACAACCAGCAACAACACGAAAACGATAACAGTAGCAGAAAGCTGGCAGCAGACGCTCGCCGGTAGTGCAAATAGTGCCAAAGGGTGCCACCACCTTAAAAACGACGAAGAAAATTCAAATAATTCTGAGAGAGTGGCTCATACAAGGTGAAAAATATAAGACTCCGGGTTGGAAAAAACTTCTTATTTATTACCTATGATTTCGTCTTTCAACCATTCACGCCGAGCATGTTCGTGAACTTGCATGTGGATACTTTCTGTGTTTACCAGCAGGGTTCAGTGTTTACGTCGGAGCAGGTAGCGGCACCAGCGGCAAGAGTCAAATTGTACTGAAATTTGTTGTCATTTGTTACTCAATCGTCTAGCAAAACTGAGCATCTGTTTAAAAACATTGTTAAATCTATTTGGAAGTACCTCCCTGTAGTTTGCTATCGTAGTTTGAAGTGATGTTAATGTAACTAACCTAAAATGGCTCAGAGAGGTTTACCTCAGAGCAAAGAAGCTCTTTTGAAATCCTACTCAGCACGTCTCAAAGATGATGTTAAATCTCTTCTTGAAAATTTTGAAGGTATGTAAAGCTATACCTTTTGGAAACCAAATTTGGATTTGACTATTTATCAATTAATACTATCTTTTTCAACCTGCCCACAGAGATTATCAAATTGGCAAAAGGAGAGAGTGATTCACAGCTTAGTCGGATGACTCAGTGTGAACAGGACACATATGAAATGCATGTACGATCTGCAAACATTGTAAGTTCCCTCAAGAGTCTGATCTGCTCCACTGAAAGTGTTTGCGTTGTTTCATTTTGCTAACTTGTTCTGCCCTTTTCTAGGTTCGGGCTGGAGAGTCCCTGATGAAACTAGTGTCGGATATCAAGCAGTATCTTATTTTGAATGACTTTCCATCGGTCAATGATGCTATTACGCAAAACTCAAAACTTTTTCGTCAAAAGCAAAGTGAAGCAGATCAGAAACTTATGATGCTGAGAGATGATATGGCAGCAGATCTGTATGATTTGGAGGAAGAGTACTACAACTCTGTGTATAAGTGTAGGATAGCAGATTAAATGTATGTTTTATTGTGAAGTATGTTTAAATTTATATTCTGTAGAAAAAGAGATTATCTCTCTGGCATAAACTCTTTTTTTAAATTTTCCTTTTAAAATGAATGGCTCACAATGTTACTATTATAAATATCAGTTGCTCCCTATAATGTGTAAATATGTCATTTTTCTTTTATCGATTAATATTTTTTGTCTAGAGGACTGAATAAACTACGATTGATTTTCATTCGTTCGCTTTTCATCTGTGTGTCCTCACACCCAGAAAGGGGTGCTTTGAAAGAGTTTTTATCTAAATACAATGTACTTTGAAATATAATGTGAATGTTGGATTGAGTAGGGAAATAGGTGAAGGTTGAAAGAAAAGTTTCCTGAAATTACTATTTTATTTCAAAACCATAAGTGGATGTCTGTGCAATCTCTTGCTGTGCACTCTTATGAAGTTGTGCAATTTTTTCTTCTTACATCTGCTTAATTTTATTTACTCATTTTGAGATCTGTCCATTTCAACAATCAGAAAATGGAAGCACTTTTTGCTCCTAGCTTTTGCATCTTGTTAAAAAAAAGAGAGAAATGGCTTTTACATAATTTGATCTTTTAAGCTAATAAAAGTTCATGGTCAGTTTCAAACTTTTCATCACATTTACCCATACTTGTTTATATTGGCAGCTAAACAAGTCTGGACTAACATTAGTTCTGTAAAAAGTCAAAATTATTTTTCCGATTAACTGGAAGCAATCCGATTCCCACTCCCTTTCAGATGGGAGGCTCATGAATGACAATAAATAAAATAACATGAAATGATAATAAATTATAACTGAGGTGAAACTTTTCAGAGCAGATCAGGGAATTGGATTTCTAACAATTTTGCTCGGATTATCACACTCCGTCTTGTATCACAAATATTCTCTTGTAAGATGAACAGCCAGAATTAAAACTGCCATTTCAAGCGTGAGAGATTTTGCATATGTTAGTATCAAACACAGGGCAGTGCTGGTCTTACTGCACAAAAACCTTCAGGTAGCCAAGGTATTGGGAGTGCTTGATGCCAAATGTATGAGCTGGAGGAACATCCAACTGCACCTAGAAAAATTTTAAGAAAAATGTTAGAATTAGTTTTGGCTCATTCAAGGTTGCAAGATATACATTGACAAAGCTCTAGTACTGTCAACGGCTTTTCTTTTCTTTTTGTTTATTTTTAGGGGGGGGCAGGAATTATGAGCTTCTTCCTGCTATGCTAAGTACTAGTGGAGTGGCTAGAAGGTAAGCAACAAAGGCAAGGCAAAAATAATAACTCGAAACGTCCTCCCGTCGTTCCAAAATTGATTTGCACACCACTGGTGGTAAACCAAAGCCAGAAAGCTGATCTAAACTACCTTTCCTGCAGCTAATTTTGCATGGTATCATGAAGATGAAAATGATGTGACATTTATAAAACCTGTAGCTCTATCTCTTAAGCATGGATGAGAATGAAAAGTGGTAAGCAGAGCAGTTGAGAGTAAAGTGAATGGACACTCTTTTATGTCCAAAGATTGTGTTAAATGTTAAAACAACGAAAAGAAAAATATAGTATTTCATTTGGCGGATGATATGCAGTCAGCTTTTGCAAGAGGCTATGACTGGGCCTAGTAGATCCATGCAGCTACTTGATACCCCCACCTTGCAATGCTTCCGGCACAGACGTCTCTACCTAACACGGCAACATGCACGGCGGGTCCGTAATTTTGATGTGGATGTAGGGCGAGTGTTTGATGCCGAAAGTGTAGCTCGGCGAGGATCGGTGGTTGCCAGAGACCTGCCCATTTCCAAAACATGACATCTTCCGCAACACCGTCAGGATGCTCCTACAGAGCTTAGGGCGAAAACGCAGCACAATTTCCCGAGCGTTTTGTAACTGGTTGCAACATTGAATGATAACGCGCCATTTCAAACAGACCGGTCGGGAAAAGTTGAGGGTTCTTTGGAAGAAACACTAACGACGTGACTGCAGTAACGTCGAAGGCGTGTTTTGCTAAAACAAGGGAATGGTTCCATTTTGGCGTAAGTACGCACCTTCTCCGGGCAGTGGGCGCCGGGCCCGGGCTTGAGGGTGGCGTCCGACGGCACGGTGAAGCGCGAACTGATGGAGTAGGCGGGCGAGCGGTGGTGGTTGTTGTAGCAGTCGGACACGGAGGCCTCGTAGGCGCCGGGCCCCGGCACCAGCGCGCGCTCGTCCTGCGGCTCCTTCTGGCGGCCCGAGATGCTGAAGGCGGGCGCGGCCTTCTTGTTGCCCTCCAGCGTCTTGCCCAGTACGGACGGGATGTTGTACACGTTCGGCGCTGCGGAAAAGGGGGCATCGTGAGAACGGGACGATCACGAGCTCCCACAAAAATATCGATCCCTCCCGTCGCCGGTTTCAGTAGACGAGAGCGCACCTGGCGCAGTGGCCTGTTCCTATTCCCTCAACAAAAAGAGCTTTTGTAGTTCAAATAAGCAAAAAGCAAAGTGGAAACAAAGTATTACGGCACACTAAGTACTCCAAAATGTTAATAATGTACACTGGGCTACTGCACACGCTACAGAACTACCAACAGTCACTACATCACGAAATAAAACTACGAGCCATGTAGTCTCTTACCAATGAATGCCCAAGACTCACTTTAGAGACTCTCTGCCGTGGTAATGCCTGTAAATCTAAAACGCACGTTACTTTGATCGGGCTTGGACCCTCGCTAGAATCCTAGCTTGCTGAGTCGGGAGCACCTTCCAACTAGGCAACCCATTTGCCTCCGATGCGAGGCGGTCGCGCCGTGGACAACGCAGGAAATGCGTTACAGTGCGCCGTTTTACCTAGTGGGCAGCCATCTGAAGCGCGTACCGCATCCTTGAGGGTGGAGCCAGTCGACTCTAGGACTTTACTCGGCTGAAGCGCCTGGGACGTAGGCCACCTGTCCGTCTCCTACACACAGGTGTGGAGACGGTGGCCCACCTTGCGCATCGCAGGGGCCTGGTAGGCCACCGTAGGCCGCCGTCTCATCGTTGGTGTTTTGCGGGACAGACCGGTGGCCTACCCCACTCCGGAAACCACCCTCGCGCTATCGTAGCATTCTACAGTGGCCACAACTTGGCGGCCACAAACGCCGCAAACGCCCCGCCGCGCCCCCACACGGCCGGCCGGCGGCCAAATCTGCCGTACTCACCAGGAATGTCGCTGGGCTTCTCGATCTGGGTCCTCAGGCCGAACGAGTACTCCGGGGCGTGCTCCGGCTTGTCCGGGTTGTAGGCGTTGGGCGCTGCGGTCAAACAAAGCTACGTTACGGCGCGCTCAGCACGGAGCCATCCAGACGCTTCGCCGGGAACTGTTGCCGACACCGCTAAAAGAAGAATAACATGCTTTGTTTTGAATGGATGTCCAGACCAAGGCCAAACTGAATCGCTGAACCAGTCCGTTATCGGCCGAAACATCAAACATCCATCGTCGTGAACACGAAGGAGTCGGAAAGAGCCGCAGGCTGCAAGACAACTTGGCGCACTCGTTTGCCACTTCGATCTCTCGCGCCGGGAAAGTTATCGACATCACGATACGGCGTTAAATGTTAGGGAATGTTGGAAAGGAGAGGCCCAATTGGCTCGTTGCTACTGGGCTAACCTGGGGTGTCCGAGGGCTTCTCAAGAAGGGTCTTGAGGCCAAAGCTGTAAGCGGCATTCGTCTCCGACACGGCGAGGTCGTAAGCGCCGGGGGCTGCAAACGGAGACGTTATTCGAAGTCTCCGCACTTGGACGCGCGGCATGGGAGGAGAACCTACGCCACACTCGCGTCGCATCTAGCGGTGGAAACGAACTCGTATTTCTGTCTAGACTGACCTGGGGTGTCGCTGGGCTTCTCCAGTGGCGTCTTGAGCCCGAACGAGTAGTTGGGTGTGTGCGTCGGCTTGTCCGGGTTGTACGCGTTGGGGGCGGGGGTGTCCAGGGGCTTCTCCAGGGGCGTCTTGTGGCCGAAGCTGAACGCCGGAAGGTGCTCCACGAGGTGGGGGTCGTACGCACCGGGAGCTGCACAGAGCAGCACAAGGAGCTTGTTTGTGATTCTCCGTGGTTGAATTGAAAGCAGGACGGCCGTCACTCGCCTAGACTAAAACAAGCAGTGAAATTGTGAAAGCTCAGAGCATATCCGAAAAGTTTACCTGGAGTATCGCTGGGCTTCTCCAGTGGCGTCTTCAGACCGAACGAGTAGTTGGGTGTGTGCGTTGGCTTGTCTGGGTTGTACGCGTTGGGGGCGGGAGTGTCCAGGGGTTTCTCCAGGGGCGTCTTGTGGCCGAAGCTGTATGCTGGCAGGTGCTCCAGGAGGTGGGGGTCATACGCACCGGGAGCTACACGGAGCAGCACAAGAACATTCTCGATAGAAAGCAGGATGGCACATCATAATTCCGGCACGCGGACTCAATAAGGAAGTTACCTGGCGTATCGCTGGGCTTCTCCAGTGGGGTCTTCAGGCCGAACGAGTAGTTGGGCGTGTGCGTCGGCTTGTCCGGGTTGTACGCGTTGGGGGCGGGGGTGTCCAGGGGCTTCTCCAGGGGCGTCTTGTGGCCGAAACTGAACGCCGGCAGGTGCTCCAGAAGGTGGGGGTCGTACGCACCCGGTGCTGTAACAACGCATTTTTCCATTCTTACCTCCCCGTTTCAATCATTCACCCAGCATTTACTTCCATTGTTCTCTTCAGTCGTTCGATAAAAAGAAGCAATTAAAAATTTGAAAGCATCCTCGACGCGGCAGTTACCTGGGGTGTCGCTGGGCTTCTCCAGTGGGGTCTTCAGCCCGAACGAGTAGTTGGGTGTGTGCGTCGGCTTGTCCGGGTTGTACGCGTTGGGGGCGGGGGTGTCCAGGGGCTTCTCCAGGGGGGTCTTGTGGCCGAAGCTGTATGCTGGCAGGTGCTCCAGGAGGTGAGGGTCGTACGCTCCGGGAGCTACACGAAGCAGCACAAGAAACATATTTGAGACAATTTGCGCAGTTAAATAACAGGACGACACGGCATAAATCCGTAACCTACCTCACTTGACTTAAGGATTGAAATTGTGCACTACGTATCATGATAGCTCAGAACATACGGAAAGTTTACCTGGAGTATCACTGGGCTTCTCCAGTGGGGTCTTGAGACCGAACGAGTAGTTGGGTGTGTGCGTCGGCTTGTCCGGGTTGTACGCGTTGGGAGCTGGGGTGTCCAGGGGCTTCTCCAGGGGCGTCTTGTGGCCAAAACTGAACGCCGGCAGGTGCTCCTGGAGGTGCGGGTCGTAGGTGCCTGGAGCTGCGGATCAGTAAAGCGTTTCTTTCTTGCACCAAACAACAACAACAACAAAAACAACAACAACCACTGCAGGTGCAGGGGCACGCTGATCGTTACCTGGAGTGTCATTCGGTTTTTCCATCGGGGTTTTCAGTCCGAAGGTGTACGCAGGCAAGTGTTCGGGAAGATGGGGGTTGTACGCGCCAGGAGCTGAAAAAGATTCACGTCTCAAAAGTTTGTAGGTGACAAGAAATTCTTCGGCTCGCGGTCCGAGACGCAGACGGCGAAAACGTGAATTTGAAACCGGCGACAGTGAACGTCGCAAGGTACCTGGGGTGTCGCTAGGCTTCTCGGCGGGCGTCCTCAGCCCGAACGAGTAGTTGGGCGTGCTGCTGGGCTTGTCGGGGTTGTAGGCGTTGGGGGCGGGGGTCTCGGAGGGCTTTTCATGCGGGGTCTTGAGGCCGAACGAGTAGGCGGGCAGGTGCTCGAGCAGGTGCGGGTTGTAGGTGCCGGGTGCTGGCGGAAGGCGATGCAAGTGCATGAAGGCAGGCAGCACAGAAGCACAGAGTGCACTTATTGCGAAAGAGAGGGGCGCACTGTACCTGGGGTGTCGCTGGGCTTTTCGACGGGCGTTTTCAGCCCGAACGAGTAGTTGGGTGCGTTTGTGAGTTTGTCCGGCTTGTAGGCGTTCGGGGCCGGCGTGTCTGACGGCTTCTCCAGGGGAGTCTTGAGGCCGAACGAGTACGCGGGCAGGTGCTCATGCAAGCGTGGCTCATAGGCACCGGGAGCTGTGGGACGGAAATGGTGCGTAAAAGGAAAACGGGGGCCTAGCGTTTCTGAACTCTATTCTGAAGGCCAGGCGTCGACGCTGCAGGACCCCCTCTCTCGTACCTGGAGTGTCGCTGGGTTTCGCTATGGGGGTTCGCAGCCCGAACGAGTAGTTGGGAGCGTTCGCGAGCTTGTCCGGCTTGTAGGCGTTCGGGGCAGGCGTGTCTGAGGGCTTTTCGAGGGGGGTCTTGAGGCCGAACGAGTAGGCGGGCAGGTGCTCGATGAGGTTCGGGTCGTAGGCGCCAGGGGCTGTGGCACGCAAACACACAGCGCCGCCATTGCAGCTTATTCCACCCTTACTATGAATCTAAGTCTCTGCCCCCACCCCTTTTCCCCGCGTCTAATTTCCTGCTTTTCGCAATGGACAAGGCTCTCTACCTGGAGTGTCGCTGGGTTTCTCTATGGGGGTTCGCAGCCCGAACGAGTAGTTGGGCGCGTTGGTGAGTTTGTCCGGCTTGTAGGCGTTGGGTGCAGGGGTGTCGCTGGGCCTGTCCAGAGGGGTCTTGAGGCCGAAGGAGTAGGCGGGCAGGTGCTCCAGCAGGTGGGGGTTGTAGGTGCCGGGTGCTGGCAGAAAGCGGGCCGTGAGATTCGGAGATCAACAGAAACAAGCCGAAGGAAGAGGGCGGTTCAGTGCGGTGCGCGTCACCCGTGCATTTCCAGAGCTTCCTCTTAACTCTACAATGGTGTCCTGGGCCAAGCAAGCCCGCTGGCCGGCTTATCACTGCCAACTGCTCTGCTGAGGCGCCGAGGCTTCAGAAAGCACTCACACTGTGTCTCTCACCTGGAGTGTCGCTGGGCTTCTCGCCGTTGGTCTTGAGGCCGAAGGAGTAGTTGATGGAGTGCGTCAGCTTGTCCGGCTTGTAGGCGTTGGGCGCGGGGGTGTCGGAGGGCTTCTCCACCGCGGTCTTGAGGCCGAAGGAGTAGGCCAGGTGGTGCTCGGGCAAGGTGGGGTTGTAGGCGCCGGGCGCTGTGGACGGCAAGAGGGGATGAGACTTTCGGCATGCTGTGCTTGCTCGTCGCAGAGACATGGACCGAACTTACCTGGCGTGTCGCAAGGCTTCTCCAGCGGCGTCTTGAGGCCAAACGAGTAGGCCGGCAAGGCGGGGCCTGGCTTTTCTGGGTTGTAAGCACCAGGAGCTGAAATTTGGATGCAGCGGTCAGTAGGGGGAAACAGGCGCGCCCCGAGGTGCTAACTACAACGACGAATAACGGTCTCGCGTGTTCGCTGTACACACGCAGGGAATAATCGACGCGTGTAAATTTCAAAAGACACCCATGACTTGCCAGGAACAAACTATTCATGACTACGCTCGATTCTACTCACTTCCTTCCCATCTGCGTGAACGATGGATCGATTTGTGTTCATTCAAGAACGGCAGACAGTGCTTCGCGTGAAGCGGCTGTCGGAAAACGCGAGAGAGAAAAAGCCGCGCCTTTTTTTGCTGGTACAGCGGCAGACGAGGTGGGTGACTGAACGGACGGGCGCGGGGAAGGCCGCGACGGAAAAGAGGGCGACCGGGGGTGGGGGGACTGCTTTGGCGCGCAAAACTTTGGAGCGACGGCGTCCTGGCCGAGGCCCTGGATGGAGGGGGCAGCCGGCACGCCCACGGGGCACGGCGGCACGGACATGACGCGGGACATGGCGTGGGCGCCACCCGGCCGCACTGGCGCACTGGCGGCGCGGACGGCGGCGGCGAGGCAGGAAGGAGGGACGCTCATCCGATCGACGCGACGACTTTCCTTGATCCGCACCAAGCCAGGTCAAAGCCAGGCCAAAGCCAGGCCAAAGCCAGGCCACCCTGTTGGAAAGCACTAAGTGGTCTGGACTTTGAACCCCGATTTCACTCCCGACCCTGAAATCGCGCAGCCTTCGCCGCGCAACCATCCCGAATCTGCGGCCTGAGTCAGTGGCGCGACGGCAGTGTCACTGCGAGGAAGCTGCCCGGGCGCTGGCCCACTGCAGGGCGTTGGACATGCAGGGCACTGCTGCTGCGAGGCGCGTAAGCACGCGTTAGCCTTACCGGGGGTGTCTCTTGGCTTCTCCAGCTGGGTTCTCGCGCCAAACGAGAACTCCGGGGTGGAGGCGGGCTTCTCCGCCAGGTAAGTGTTCGGTGCTGCGGATAGGAGCACACGTCATGTGGGGCTTGCCAGGCGAGCCAGGCGTGCGTGGGCGCGAAGCGGCGGCCGGCGCGAGCAGCGCGGAAACGAGGCTTCGATGCCGTGCCGTGCCGTGCCGTGCCGTGCCGTGCCGGTCGGGAGTTGGTGTCGCTTGACTAGCATCCGAAGTGGACGCAAATCTCGAGCATTGACAAAGTGGTACTCGCGTTGGTTTATCTCCCGCGGCATCAGAATGGCAGCCCCGTTTCTCGCCTTGCTCGCCGAGCGGTGCGACGCAGCCATCACGCAGCACGCCCACAGGCCCACCACATCGAGCGGCAGTGCATGTACAGACTGTGCGGTGCACTGTACTACAGCGAAATGCGTGCAGACAAGGCGACGGCCGGGCAACAGCGTGCACGTCGAGGCGGTCATGCAGCACAAAAGGGCAAAACCGAAAACAAGCGAGCCGTCGCCACGGTTTCTACACTGTGGAGCACACGTGCGACTGAAAAGCCGCCGAGGCACTTGTGAAGGCGTTCCCAAATACGCCCTCGTTGTTGACAAAAATACACTACTTCGACGCGGGGCGCCGCAGCGTGCTACAGTGCCGTGACGCAACATGCGCCACACAATCCGTGCCAGAACTGGAATCGGAATCGATAAACTCACCGTCGAATCGATATCGGCGTCTAATTCTGGCCTGGGTGTGAGGCTAAAGCGATACAGCTGCGTCATTGCAATGCCGTAGCCCTACTAAATTTATCAAGCAGTGCTACAAACGACAACACGCCACTATTGTCTGCAATGCGCTACACAGATTTGCATTTTCGGGACGAGGAACAGACCACCGCCGCCAGGTCGAAGACGCGCATCGCTGCTGCCAGAGTTGAATTTAACCACGCCGTAGCATGGATCGAATCTCTGTTTTCGCATTCAATGATGGTTGCAATAGGCCACATTGATCCATGCTGAACCGCCAGTGAAAGGATTCCCAATTGAATGTGCCACGGTCATGACACAACAACTTGCTTAAGTCACTTGGGGAAAAAGTCGGAACATGTCTTCCATAATTTGTGCCCGTCCGACTGCAGACGGAACGTTCCGTACCTTTTTTCCGTACCATTAGTTAAATGGGTGGTCTTAGATAGGGCCCAATTGACCTCTCCGTACTGACTAGTTTCTGTACCATTCACGTACACAAGACGGATTTTACATGGTTCCAGAAACGGCTGCCGTTGAACGAGGCGACGTCGGCTGTACCTGGGGTGCTGGACGGCTTGTCGTGCTGCACCTTGAGCCCGAAGGTGTACTTGGGGGAGGTCTCGTGGGGGTCGGGGTTGTAGTCCCCGGGCGCGGGGGTGGCGTCGGGGTTGGTCTCCTTGGGCCGCGAGTGCAGCGTGGCGGAGGGCGGGCTGTCCTTGCCTGGAAAGACGAGAGGCCGTCCTGCACTCTAAATTTCCTACTGAGAAATGCCGTGCAGTCATAATACTGAGCTAATTCTCAGTACTTTACAACACTAATCTGTCATAATACAGAGAAATTTGTCCGTAATATGAAGAAGCTGGTCATAACTTGTTGAAAACTCTTCACCATAGGTTACTACCCTCGCTGCGCAGTCATAATACTAAGCTTTTTGTTCGTATTACGAAGAAAAAGCTCAGTAGGATATTGGGAGTGTGAGTCGCGCTGCTTCATTCAAAGGGCCTCACCCCGAGTCCCCTCCGCCTGCCTGGCACTGCCTACCTTTGGCGCTGAGGCCCGTCACGTTGTACTGCCCCGGGCCGGGGCCAGGGCTGTCGTTTTTCGCGCCGTGCCTGTGGGATCGGATTGATTTGTTGAAAAAGAAAGCTGCGCTCGAATAAATACAGATGAAGCGGCATTCCCTCCCACACCAACCTGCTGCCGAAGCTGAAGGCGGGGGCGCGCTCGCGTTTCGAATCGGGGGCAACGGTACCTGGCACGGCAAACAAACCAAGAAGTTCAGTTCATCTTTATTTCTTTTTTTGGCGCCGCAGCGCGACGGTGTGCGAGATGTCGAGTCGAGTTTACCGATGAGGGTGGGCAGGCTGACACACGCGGGGCCGGGGCTCTGGTGTTCGGCGGCGATGGCGCCCCGCCGCTTGGTGGGGGTCCAGGGTCGTTGCTTCAAGCCTCCCATCTGCAACAAGAGAAACAGAAACCACACAGTGTGTTAGCGCCGGTTAGCGCGCAGGTCCCGTTATTGTCACAATTCTGTCATCTTTCTGCCTGAAAAAAGAAAAGGGACGGGCAAGATGATTGTGACTCATCGCACCCGGCAACAGTCTGAAAAATCTTGTCTTCAAAAGAGGTGGTCTTGATCAACTCCAATCTGCCGCGGGGTTTTTGTCGCTGGCCAGCGACTTGACAGCGCTCCATCCAAACAGCCGATGACCCTTCAGGAAAAAATTTGGCCAGGTCGGACAAACGATGCGCGAAGCCGCGTCCCTCGTAGCAACAGGTGATGGCCAAAGTTCACCACCAGCTGGCACCGGGCCTCCGGCGGCCTCTGCTGCAGTTGCATCCATGGCTCTATCGACTCGGATGTACTCTGTACTCGCACAGCGTATTCGTTTCGACGATCAAACGATACAAACATTGAGCGAGTCTTTGCTTCTTCTCCCCGGCGATGCGGTGGCGAGGCGCTCCACCGTTCGCTTGGATTCGCCAAAAAGCTTCCCGATAGTTTTGGGCCCGGCACCCCTCGCGGCTCCCGGTTCCCTGGAAACCAGGAGGTGCGTTGTGCGCTGCTCTCCTAGACGTCGGCCACGGCGGGGCGTGGCGGGGCGTGGCGGGGCGTGCTTGCGTGCAGCGGCGAGGGGGCCGCAGGGCCGCAGGGCCGCAGGGCCGCGGGGGGCGGTGCCGGTTAGAGGAGCTACCAGTGACGTATCGACCCTCGGGGCCCGGAAAGGAACCGCGAGGCCCCCGCCGCCGCCGCCTGGCCGAGCAGGGCGCCCCAGGGTTGCCCCGGGGTGGGGCTCTGTAAAACCTACGAGGAGGAGGACCGCAGGATTTGCAAAACAAAATCGTCTGCAGCATGGCGAACACGCTCGGGCCAGGCTTTCCGAGCTGCCACAGGCACGCTGCAAGGTCCGGCTCGCGACCTTCGAACGAGTCAAGGCCGGGTCCGTTTAAGGTCAGACCAGCTGGGAGCATTTCCTTGGCGCGCCTTGGCGCGTTCGTGCGTCCTTCTCACGAAAAGGGCAGAAACAAACACGTGAGGTCAGGGCGAGGCTTGTCGATTGACGGGGCAATTTCTTCTATGCCTGGCGCCTCCACTGCACTGCCGTGGCGTGGTACGGTACCTCCATGGGTGCCGGGCGCTCGGCAAGGCGCTCGGCAGCGCAAGCAGCGAGGCGACTGGCAGGTCCATTGCCCACTCAGGCGGAATAGGAAGACATGCCGTACTAGGGCATCCGCCGCGCCACTGCTTGCACTGCGTGTGTCGCCCGCACCACGCCCATGGCTGCCCATGGCGCGCCCAGACCGGCGTCAGGGTCCTTGTCCTTGGGCACCGCGCTGCCCGCGCTGCCGGTAAGTACCCGGTGCAGTTCGAACCGGTGGGGCAGGGCGAGGCGAGGGTCGGCCAGGGTCCTCGCAGCCACAGCGTCCCAACGGGCTTCTCACTTCGCATGCCCAAATAACTCCTTTACCGTCGTGAACGACTGAGCGACGCGTGTTTCGCGCAAGGCCTCGTCGCTCTGTCTCCCTTGCACGGGACGCCAAGGGCGCGAGAGAGGCAGGGCGACGAAAGCGCCGCTCGGAGTCAGTCTCTGGAGCAGGGCGTGATTCACGGGCCGGCTTACGGCCCAGCTTATGGCGCGGCGGCGCGGCGCGGCCTCCTTGGGAGGGTCAAGCTGCGCTGCCCACCTCGCGGCCCACGCCGAGCCGTGCCGTGCCGAGCCGTGCCGTGCCCCTCCCACCGCGCGGCACCGCGTTATTGTCAAGGTGTCAAGCGCGTCGCGAGGCGTCGCGGCGACTCAAGTCTGATCGGCTGCCATGGGCGGACATGCGTCCTGCCTGGCCTGCCTGGCCTGCCTGGCCTGCCTGGCACACTCGTCACTCTCGTCGTCGCAGCGAGCGTGATTGTGTGTGACGTGTGGCGCCGCCCCGCGCCGCCCCGTTCGGCCCGCGGCTCGTCCATGACCGTGACCGCCATGACGCGCCGCAGCGTCCCTTCCTCGTAGTCCAAGCTGCTAAAAAGTCGCCGAGTCATCCCCGGCGCGCGCCAACAGGCAGACATAGTCTTCGGCGACCGGCTCCTCTGTTCACAAATAGGGCGTGCTATCGCGCTGTGCAGCGACTGCGGGGCACGACTGGTGCGTGCCGGGGCACTGTTTCTGCATTATTCTGTGTCTCGCGAGGCAAAAGTTTCCATGTTAAACGGGGCGCCCTCTGACCACGCAACCACGCGTTCAGCTCACCGACCGCCCAGCTCGGGCCGACCGCCCCAGCGCGTGGAAACGGCACGTCAAAAGGCCCCGTTTGAACGCTGGAGCCTCGGTGGCTCCTCCCGAAGTGATGGGTAGCGTTGCACCTCGGTTCCACACGCCCCACGGGTCACGTGTTCGCACCGTCACGGCGGCCGAGGGCGCCTCACGCCACCCCGGAGGTGACGGCCGTGGCGGTGGCGGGGTGGCGGGGCGCAACCGGCGCAGCCCTTGGCCGTAGCCCCGCCGCCGCCCCGCCGCGAGGCCGCCGCCCTGCAGGCACTGCAGGCTTGCCAACGCGTCAGCTGACGCCCCACCGCCACACTCCAAAAACCTCGCGCCTTCTGGGAAATAACCGGGGATTCCGGACAACACTCCGACGTCGCCGCGTCTCTCTCGCATACTCGGCTCGCACGGCGATGCACTCCGCCACCCTTCGTCGCGACAACGCGCCTGACCCATTTTCCCGAATAAATGTGACGATGCCGTGACGATGCCGTGACGACGTCGCAGGACCCAGGACCCGTCCGCCGCGTCCCGCCGAGCGCACCGTCACGGCACTGCGTCGCCGATGCGTGCTCGCGGACAATCCGCGGCCCCGAACGCCATTACACCGGCACTGTAACTCGCCGTAAAGACGCACCACGACGACGGAGAGAGAGAGAAAAGAAAATATCGGCCAACGGTGCCTGAGATCCCCCGGCTGTCCGGCCCGCCAGGCGTGCGGGCTGTGCGTGGCTGCCTACCCCTCGGTTCGCAGGCGCCATGCCTCTGGCTTTGTTTGTGGCGTTGGCGATCGACGCACTTCGTAGTGGTTTCGGGAAAGGTTCCTTGCGAGACGAGGTTCCTCACTTCCTCTACACGCTTCTCACAGTCTCGGCAGTCTCATCAGTTGTCATCTCACTGGGAAACGCTTGCACTTTCTTGTCGCTTCTGGTTGGTCACCCGGACTCCTGGAACGCTCACCTTGGATGCCGGAGTCTGGTGGGCGGGTATGCGCGGCTAGCCTGGGTTCACCCGGACGTGTTGCACTAAACAGACGCTGGGGGCGCTCGGGGTCTCGGAGCGAGCTGCGTCTGAGTTCGGCGGAGGCTTGGAGGTAAATGCTGTGCTATCCAGTGGCACGCTACACCGGCTGGGGCCGCGGGGCCGGGGGGGCCGGGGCAGCGGGGGCACCCCGTGCCGGCTAGACCCCACCACGCCCCACACGCGGCCCCCGCGCCACAACGCCCCCGCGCCCTCGCGCTGCTAGGTGGGGGGGGGGAGGAAGTTTGCAAGGGGGAGAGGAATTGTCTTGTGTGCATTGAGTGCTCGGACTGCGGACGGTATCAGGCGAGTTTAGCGAGTGGCAACAAGTAGAACTACTTTGCTTACTTGGAGGCGGAGGCCGTGCTCGCCCACCGCCGCCACCCACGCCCTGCAACGAGGCCAAAACGAGGCCCCACAGTGGCCTCGGACGACGCGCACCGCACCGTGTCGCATTGCCAGCGGTTTCTAGAACACTCGCTGGATCGCGCACACAAGCACATCACACGCACTCTGACACATCGAACGCCAAACATCTGCGCTTTATCAACACTGGGAGAAAGCGCACCAACTTCTAAAATTGCCAAAAAAAAAGAGGCCACTGAAAACAGGCCATTGAGAAGACTGCAAGAGTAGCACAGTGGCTACGTCATTTAGCTTTCAGGGCGCACAAACCAATGCGAAAGTAAGCTTACGAGTGCAGCGGCGCGCGTGCTTGTTCCGTCCGTGGCCCACGTGCACGCGCCGCTCGGCGCCGCCAAAACCACTTCCGCACACGTGTCAGCGAGTTGTGGCGCTCGCGTCCGTTAGGAGTGAGGTGGCCAATTCCAGCCGGTCGAGAAGTGGCTGCGGGAAGGAAGCAATGAAACAGCAGGATGAGGATGCCGTGCACTTTTCACACCCGAGCCCTAGACCCCGCTTCAAACCGAGCAGGGGCCGGTTCCTATGAATTGAATAAGATGGGCACAGGTTCTTCAAGCTAGAGCTTACCGACGTGACGCGAAATTAATTCTCAAGTTTTCGTGACAGCGTCATTTTTCAAACAAAAGGAACTGTGACGGGTGTGGGTTCTTCAAGGTTGTTGATTGGTATTCGTGACAAAAGCCCACAGCGTGGCCCTTTCGCGTCACATTGTCGCTTCCGTGGTCCACGGACTGCACTGCGGCACCCCGAGGCCGGTCAGGCCGGACAGGGCGGACCCGTCGGACACGCGTTCAACCCGAGCAGTGCGGCTCAACGGCCAACGGCCGGAGGAGAGATGCGGCGGTGGCACTCGCTCCTTGTACGGCTAACCAGGCGACCGGTCTGCCTGCCGCCCTGCCCTTCTGTCTTTTAGTGGCCGTGCCGCGCCGCGCCGCGCCGCGCCACGCCGCGCCACGCCCCTCCGCGGCGGGTGCCGCCAGCCAGCCAGGCTGCGGGTGGCGGAAGTGCGCGTCCGTCTCCGTGCACTTCTCGGCCACCTTGTCCTTGCCTGGAGCGAGCGTTCAACTCTCCCCGGGTGCTGACTCGCTCAAAACAGTGCTTTCGTCACTCCGTCTCGCTCGCACTCATGGGGCGTCCCGCGTCGATGCGAGCACTGTTCGGAATCCGTCTGCTGGCGGTTGTTGATCCCGATCTGAATCAGACACGAGCTGGACCGCGAGCGCATCTCCTTCCCGGAGAACTCAGAGCGTACTGAGTCAAAGAGGAGTGAAGAAGGAGAAAACCTCCCAACGCGACACTGGCAATGTCGTCCACTGCCCAACGGCATCGCCAAGTGGAAAAGTCCTGTGTGAGTGAGTGCAGACTTTTGTTTCGGAGCCCAGTGCTGCTGGTTGCTGGTCGAAGCGCCTGCAAACGCCAGGGTAGGCCCACCCGCCAAGCACGCGCGTGATGCGTGGCTGCATACCCTCCGCTTCGCAGGCGCTACAGACGCCGGCGCCGTGCATCGCCTCGGGTTTCGTTAGCCGCTGCGCCGCCGCCAGTTCGGCACGCAGTGTTGTGGAGCCCTGCTTTTGTTTCAACGCGCCCCGTGCTGCATGTGGTCACCTCGGCCAAGCCGGCCAAGCCGGCCAAGCCCCATGGCGGGGCGGCGGGACATGGCACGGCACGCCACGGCCGGAGACGTCCCGAAGCCACGCCTCCTTATATGGATTTGCCCCTGCCTCCACTCCACTCCGCTCCGAGTCGCGGCCACGGCGAGCAGAACAAAGCCCTCTCCCACCACCCGGCCGACCCCTCGCCAGGTCGGTCACTCCGCCATGAGACCTGCGGCCGGCGCCGGGACGGCCTGGACCGTCTGCAGCCGGACCCGCCTTTCGTTCCGTCCCAAGAAACTCTCTAGTGACCCAGTCAGCCACGTGGTCATGTCGTCAGCCGTGTGGCGGGAAAGGAGCCGAGTCTTAAAGGCTTGTGGCTGAGAAGACGGAAAGCCAAAGAAAAGACATTGCCCTGAACCGTTGATGCTAGGTTTGTTGGGGTGTATCCAGTCATCAGCAAGATGCAAGCCTCCAGACAACAGTCCACAAGACCAACTTTTGTGTCATGAACAAAAATAGTTCAGAATTGTTCTGTTTTTTAACATATTACTTATTTGTTAGTGCGTTTTAGTGTGGTCAGGTATTTGAAAAACAACGAGAGAATCAATTCACAGTTATATTTACACTATACACACTTGTTTGTTTTATTTTCCAAATAAATTGGTAAGCACTGATCTTAATTGTTTTTAAACTCTAGGGATGACACATTTCATGTAACCATTACTTTGATAGGACTTCCTTAAAATATTCATAAGCAACTGACATGAGAAATTCAAATGATTTATGATCAGCCAGTTTTGCGAGCTCTGGGGCATCCAACAGTCTTTCTTTAGGGGGCACAAGCTCTTTTAAAGACTGACCTGTAAAATCTAAAGACAAAAAAAAATAATTAATATTAGAAATACAATTTACCTATTTGATAAAAAAACATTTGCTTTAATTCATAAAATCTGAAACTTGCCCATGAATTCAATGAGAGCCACAAGCTTATAAAATACTGTCTTTTGGACTACATTTAGGGGAATATCAGAATCTGCTTCCACCCAATCATCTCGCAAAATTGCCTGGCACCAAATCTTATGTCTGTAAACGTAAAAGCCAAAATTGTTAAGAGGTTTCTAAGCAAATAAACAATCAAAATACTAGTTTTGTATTGAAAAATAATACAGGTCCATTTAGAGTTTAGATAACTCACTTGAGGTCAGCCTTTTGATTTTCTTCGTATTCAAGTAGATCTAATGCCTTTTTGAAAGTAAATTCATTTGCAGATTGGTTCTCACTGCATATTAACAGCTGAAAAAAAAGAAAAAAAGAAACAGGTAAAAAAAAATTTCAATCAATAATATTTTAGTAAAAATATAGCTGTTTACCTGAATTAATTCTGCTGGTGGAAGAACATTAAGGGCATCAATATCATACCCATAAGCAATAAGTACAGACTCTGGAAGATCCTCCTGGTGAGCCACAAGATCAAGTTCAGCATCAAGCAATGCTCTTTGATCATGTCTTTCAGCCCCACCTGATGCCAATAAAGCCAACTTTGCTAAAGAAAGCATAGACTGCAAAAAGAGAAGGACATTAATAGAAATGTTTGGCTGAAATAATAATAATAATTTTGTATTCTAAGAAACTTGAAGACTATGAGCAAACCTTTTTGCGCCTCAAAAGCTCCGTTTCCTGCTCAGCTAAGTTAGTTAGGGTATCGGCTGCCCTTTGGAAATCTTTGAGGAAGACATGCTGCAGCCAGGATAGAGATGGATGATCCCCCAAAAACCTTGCCAGCGCGGCCTGTTGAGCTGAGTTTTCTGCAGCTGCACTCAGCCCACTTCCTGCTCTAAATGTTTCCAAAAGTCGACCAGGCTTTTGTTCTTGAATGTACCAGTTAAATAGAAACTGGGAGAAGTCCTGATCTTTAAATTTTTCTATGTATACATCTAGACGTTCTCTATTGTTTGTAAGATCACAAATCTGCACTAAAGTTTGGAAGTCAAAGTACTTCTCGGCGAGCATTACAGCACGCTCATATTCACGATCCTCCACTGAAAGAGAAAAAGCATGAGTTTTTCAGAATATTCCATTATTCAGGGATTGATAAAGCTGATACTGACCTAGTGGGGCGATTAATGAAGATCGTGCTTTTTGGTATTGCTCAAAGAGAACTGTCTCTTTGTTGGAGCCTCGAACGCTTTCTAAATGGCACAGTTTCCCATTCAAGATGATATCAATCATCTTAAAAACTTGATCATATAGTTTTGCTTTTAGTTTTGGATCACCTGTGCTGCGTGCCCCAAATTTCAGAGTCAATGATTGCTGTAGAAGAAAGGAGAAATAGAGGATTGAAAATTTGATAGCGGCTGAAATGTTTCATATTACATTTACCTCTCAACTATGTGAAAAATTTTAAAAGGTTAAATGAGAAATGGGACTGAGCCAACATTAAAGTAAAGCATACCTGTTTCAACAAAGGTTCACGAAGGCCGCCAGCTCCAACAGATGCAGTCCATGGAAGGTATTCACAAAGCGTAGTCTCCATACGTGGGTTAGGTTGAAAAATTTCTGCTTTCTGTTGTCGGTATTGAATAACTTGAACAATCACTTCCAGAACTATATCATTGACTTCTGCTAATTGACGAGCAACTTCTGAAGGAGAACACTCGCTATGAATCTGGTCTTCAGACCACTTAACTAAAACTTGCAGGGCCCTTTGAATACCAGACACCTAGATGGAAATAAAAACAAAACATGTCAAATACTGGGACATCAAGTTTGTACTAGTATCTTCAATTTTTCTAATAACCTTGCGGAAGAAGAGATCCTTTGCGTTCAATTTACCAGTTGGCCTTTCTCTTTCTAGTTCAAGTGCAAGCCGTATTGCAGTTTCAGTTAAAGTGGCATGTTCGCTTTGCAGCTGGTGAAAGGCAATTGCTGCAACAAGCTTTTCTGCTTGTTCAGCGAGAACATGCGTAGTTGCCATAACAACACCCAAAGAGACCACAGCACTAAACCTTTCCCACAACTTAAGATCAATCAAGAACTGAAAGAAAAGGTCTAGGGCATGTTGCTTCTGTTCAAGTTGTCTGAGAATGTGCAGGGATGTTGAACTCGACAAACTTATACCTACAAATACAAGAGAATAAAGTACTGGAGCACAACTGTCAAATCCAAATTGTTTCAATTCCTTGGGTATCAATAAAAATCACTGCTTACTTGAAGTTTTCATATCAACCCAGCGAGGGTCCCTTGCCGGAATGTCATCAATCAAATCTTGGCTAACTTTCACAGCTGCAATATCAAGGGGAGCGTCCACATCTGATAAGGGTACTTCAGCTCTTGGAAATAGTTCCTTCACCAGTGCTTCACATTGGTCTTGGTTTTTGCTCACATGGAATAAGAAAGCAGCTTTCATACGTGCATCAAGATTTTGATGTGTTACTAGTTCTTCTAAGTCTTGTTCAAGCACAGACATGTCTCCACACTCCGAAATTGATACATCAGGGCCGTAGTTAACACTATCATTTTGGCTGCTTAAGTCATGAGGAGAGTAATCCAGAGGAGAGATAGAGACTAGGCCATGAGATTTAGAGAAAAAGACTGGGACATTTGCACATACAGAGCCTCCTAATATTTTATCCCCTTCATTACGGAACTCAATGACATCAGGATCTTCAAGTCCATTGGGAACGGGAACTGGAAAAAATTTTAAAGAACATTTAAGAAAAGTCTTGCCTGTAACCTACAAACAAATAACTACAAAAGAGCTTACAGGGAAACACCAGAATGTTCCGTTGACTGTACACCAAAGCTGAGTGTCCGGCAATCAAAAGTTGATACTGAGAGATATCTTGCTCTGGTTTAAGTGAGACAACATCATTCTTCAATGGGCTGAATGATTTAAGTCGAGTAGGTGGGATTGCTAAATCAGTATTCAGGGTAGCTAGAAGAGAACAGATATTGAGCATTTAAGAACTATACTTCCAGATAGCACAGTATTCAATTTTTAACAGTGAATGAATGTTGTCAAAACCAACCAATAGCAAATTGCATGTTTTGGGAAACTTGAGGATGAACTGAAGCAGCAAGTATGGCTACACCATCTTTGGTAGGCTGCATATCTAGGACCCACGATTCCTGGTCATCTGGATTTCCTCCTTGAGAATCCCAAACTTTTTCTTGAAAGGCCTCACGAACTCGTCTTCCCACATCACATTCAAAAATAAGTCTTTCGAGGTCAAAAGGTGTAACAGACCATTTCTGAAGAGTGTGCTCAGTCAAAACATATACAATAAATTCTTGTTCGCTGGAGCCTCTTGAGTTTTCCACAGATGCAACTCGAACTAATTTCTGAAAAGGAAAATCAGCATTGAGAGTCATAGGAATAAAACCTTTCAGGGATAGAAAACCTGTGTAATTTAGCTCAACACTAACAGCCTCAGCAGCTCCCGCAGTAGGAAGGGAGCCAAAAATTAACGATGACATTCGGCGACCAATACCTCCTAAAAGACTTTGAGGTGGTTTCATGGTGGTACTAGTGACACAGTGTCTACCATTTGACACCTGCATAGAAGGGCAATTATTATATATTGAGAATACTGTACAGAATAACACAAACATAGCATTATTAAGTTTGAAAACCGAACCTCTGGCTGCAAGTGAACTACTGTAGAGGTGGTAGTCGCAAGAATGCAACCTAGAGAGGCAATGCTAGTCAAAGAGTCACACTCCTGGCCCTGCAAATCGGTTGAATTTTCTACTGAGGTTCCTTCATGAGCAATGCTTGGCCAAAATCTCACTGTTCCCTCTGGTGACACAGCAATACACGAAGGAACCTACAATCAAAGAATCATACATTGTGAGAATCATGGTAGAATGGAATTGTCGAGTTATTTATCCAGGAATGAAAACTTACTGGACTGTCCTCTCGTGTATATACCCATACCAAATCTGCTCTATGAGCAAGTTCACTGGCAGGTAACGTAAGTTCCCTGCACTGTGTGCTTGGGGGACGACGCTGTTGAGCCATTGCAGGTGTTTGCTTGTATTGCCAAATCAAAAGCCTACGGCCGCATACAAGCCAGGCCCAACCATCAGGGGATATATGTGCACTAACAGCTGTGCTTCCTGCAGAAAATAAAAAAATAATTGATAAATTTGAGACTGTATACACAGCGGTAAGGCAAATGAAACAAACATTAAATGCTCACTGTCAGCATAGGTAAGTGCTTCTGTAACAAGCACTGGAAGCGGCATGCCAAATGATTTAACATCATGGTTTCTTGTTCGAGTAATCACTTGGACAGATTGAGATGAACGGCCTGAGACACTCATTCGCCTTCAATGAAAATAGTAAAAGTAAAACAGAAAAAATAAATCTTATTACCTGTAGAGATGTATCAGTATGAAGAATACAATAAGTAACTTACGAAGATCCTCCTGTAGGCGTTCGGTTTCGCATGACAAATGTGTTTCTCTTGGCAGTTGAAGGCCATGCACTAGGGCCCTGGAGGGATTTATCTCGCAAGCTCTGGAAGCTGCGATCCATCTTTAAAATTACTCTTGGTAACTTTTATAAAAAAGGAAAAGGAAGTGAAGAAACGCTGAAGAGAACAACTGCAACAGTAAGAGCAAGTCAGAAATATAATGATTTCAACATCCATTGAGAAGGTAAATACAGATGATGGAAGGGTTAGACGTCAGGAGGTACAATGTAATAGCACGACGCGATGTTTAAACTGACATGCAAAATCAAAATATCGAAGCAACAGGTAATGTGGTCAAATGAAAGAAGATACAATCAACATTAATTCACTCACTATCACAGGAAATTTAAATTAAAACAATGTTTAGCTTGAGAACCCGGCAAGCGCGCACAACTAGATTGGAAATTTTAGCCAACCTTACACAATAAAATTAATTTGACTTTTGTCTTGTTATCACAACCAATGTGACTTCACCGGTAGGAAAAACAAAATTTGAGTTCAAATTTTCTTTTTTTTAAAATTTCTTCACACCATCTTGAAAACATCCTGTTAGGTTTTGGGTCTAATAATGAATTATTATTTTGTTTACAGAAAACCGGTGTTTAGTATCGACAGCCCTGGAGCGTTATTGGCAGTTCAGTTATGGCTGCGGTGTCGTAAACTATGCTAAAAAATAACAGAAATTAAAAGGTATGGCGCTTTAACTGGAATAATTTTGCTCTCTGAGCTTGTTTAGAGATGTGATCTCTCTCCTCTACACGTGCCATTGCTGTTTTCATCTTGTATTCTGATCTGTTGTGCTTTTAGTTCTGTTACTTTTGGGGTTAAGTTTCCTTAAGTTTTCCTGTAGGTGTTTTCTTTATCAATTACTCATTTCAGTTTCATATGTTCTAAGTGTTTATTTGTTTTCTCTGAATTCGGCATTTCATGTGTGTCTGCTTAACTTTTAATTGAGTTACCTTACTCAGTATACCTGAACAATTTTAATCCCATCATCATTAACTTAAATTTCTTTTCTCAGGATTATTGATTTAGTTCGACAATCAGCCAGCTATGGATTTCCAAAATAGAGCTGGTGGTAAAACAGGCGGAGGAGGTGTTGCATCATGGACAGAAACCAATCGGGACAGGAGAGAGCGTCTCCGGCAGTTGGCTCTCGAGACAATTGATCTTCAGAAAGACCCCTATTTTATGAAAAATCACTTGGGTAAGTTTTTTGGCATTTTATTTTGTATTTTAAAGCTACCATCTTCATCTTAATATTTTACTGAAATTTTTCAGGCTCATATGAGTGTAAACTGTGTTTGACTTTACACAACAATGAGGGAAGCTACCTTGCCCACACTCAGGGTAAAAAGCATCAGGCCAATCTTGCTCGTCGAGCTGCAAAAGAAGCCAAAGACGCACCCCAGCAGGTATGAGGTCACGATAAAAATTACACCAAACGGTGTCTTGGGCATCTCCAGTGCCTGTTTTGACTGTACTTTGTCAGTACTATTTGTTTTATTGGTGCTGTTTCTCTTGTTCAGCCTGCACCTGAAAAAGCCCGTGTTGAACCCAAGAAGTTTGTGAAAATTGGTCGTCCTGGTTATCGAGTAACTAAACAAAGAGATCCTGATTCAGGTCAGCAATCCCTGTTGTTCCAAGTTGACTACCCAGGTAAATATTGGTTGATTTCCAAAAGTCTTTTCTTATCTTATTCAGTAAAAATTAAAAAAAAAAATCTTTACTGTTTAGAAATTGCTGAAACAGTCGGACCAAGGCATCGTTTTATGTCTGCCTATGAACAAAAGGTTGAGCCTCCAGACAGGAAGTGGCAGTACCTTTTGTTTGCTGCAGAGCCTTATGAAACTATCTCCTTCAAGGTATGTCTCATTAAAAGTTAATGAAATTTCATTTCTGATTCATTACTTTCAACATGCTGTTCAAATGTGTGTGATCAGGTTCCCAGCCGAGAGGTCGACAAAGAGAAGTTCTGGACGCACTGGAACAGGGACACCAAGCAGTTTTTCCTACAGTTTGCCTTCAAGCTTGAGAAGATGGGAATGCCTGGTCAACCCATGCCAGGTCCCCCTCAACCCCTCATGCCATCCATGCGCCCAGGCATGCCCCATCCACACATGTTACCCCCTCCCCCCCAGTCAGGTATGGCTATGTTCAATCCTGTTCCTCCACCACCACCCAGTGGCATGATGATGCCTCCACATCAAATGGTGTAACAAGTATCAGTTTTCAATTATGATGTATTATGCCCAGGGATTTTATTTTATGTTCTTTGTAAGTGATTAATAAAGAAGGTACTGAAATGTTGCTTCACTTTTTTCTAACATGAAGTTCACCCTTAAGGGATGGAAGGTTGTGGAGAGACTCCAATTCCAGGAGGTGAATTTGAACTATAGGCGCTCAGAAGGAGCTGAGTGTCTGTATATGCCATTCAGGCAAAGACTTCTATTCACTAATGAATTGCAATAGGGTGTCTAGTGGCAACAACATACCAATAAGACCCAGAAGTCCAGAAGCTGCATTGAGCAACCAATTCTGAAGCTACCATGCATGAGGTCACCTGGTCACAGATACTCACTGGCATAATGGAATGTTTCTAACAACGAGAACAGGAAAAAGAAGAAGAATGGGTTTAACGTGTTTATTATACGTTAATTTTTTATTTTTTTACATAAATGTAACTTATGCTTGAAGAACGCAAGCACCACCTGCAGCCTTGATCTTTTCTTCTGCTGACTTGGAGAAGAACTTGGCCCTGACGATGACAGGCACCTTGGGAAGGTGGCCCTTGCCCAAAACCTTGTAGAATCCCTGAAACAAATAAGAAAATTGTGAAAACTGTGCAAGGAGAATCCCATACAACTAATTCAAGACATCAAGACTTCTTCAAAGCAAAACAAATGATAAAACATGATAGTGCCCACGATTTACTAAAATGCAACTTCAAGCTTGAACACTCAAATCAGAAAGAATGTAACATCAGTGGATCAGTCCGCCTGTCGCTAAACATGTAAAATCATCATAGGAGTGAACAATAAGAAGAGTGAGAGTACTGTAAATAAAACCTCAAGCCACATCTCCCATAAAATTTCTTTGCCCCTGAAGCTAACTAGATTACCGACGGAATGTTTGTGATAGAAGCTTGCACACTCATTTGTCAGACAAAATGAAACATCAGTGGATCAGTCCGCTCGTCGCTAAACTTGTTTAAATCATCACAAGAGTGAACAATGCTCCAACATTCACAGATGGAGAGTACAAATTGAGAGTCTGATAACTCCTGACAGCAAACCTTAACAGCCACTTTGGATAAAAGCAAGCCAATATTGAGAGCAAGTGCTGAGAAGCAGGACTAGTTGCTATTATTTTTCAAAACCTCAAGCTACCTTACAGGCAATGCTCAGACAATACTCACGTGTTTGACAACATCAATGACAGGAGCCTTCTCAGCAGTGGCAGTTAGCCTGTCTTTCCTGGATGCAAGGGTCCACAGGATGTCTAGGTTGATGGTGGGGCAGAACTTCTGATTCTTCCTCACATGGTAGTTCCTCATACCAAGCTAAATAGAAAAGAAAAAGATAGTAATGAGCAAATAAGTTTCAGAGTAGAAGTAGATTTAACAGGTTCTTTGCAAGCACATACCTTGCCGAAATATCCAGGATGGTACTTGTCGAAGTTGATACGGTGGTGGTGCATGCCACCAGCATTACCGCGACCTCCAGGATGCTTCCTGTGTTTGCCTGTCAAAAATTCATGGAAACCATTAGCCTGACACAACAGAACTCGAAAGATAACCGAAGCATTGACATACCAAAACACAAATATGAGACTAATATACGGAAAACAACCTGTACAGTAATTGCTCTAGTAAACACAAAAGAAGCCTGACAAACTCACCAATACGTCCATGGCCGTGGCTGACGTGACCACGCAACTTCCTTGTCTTCTTCTTGGTGGTGGCCTGCAACAAAAAAGCGAGGTAGTCAGACAACTGGTGACACGAATGGTAAAGCCGCACTAAACAACTATGGGGCTACCATAACCTATCGGAATATTATTTTTACAGCCCAAGTAAGTCTAATGGTTGAAACACAAACAATGCACGGTTCTAATTATAACGAAAGCGACACGGGACGTTGCACAGAAATATCAGTGGAAAAAGACTACATCTGAACCGGTTCCGAGGATCGGGCACATGTGTTTACACTTCACAGTGCCTCCACGTAAGAGTACATATCAACGTAAATGAGCCACTTCTCTAAAATAGAATAAGGCCGGTTTCCCCAGATGACAAATTTCAAGATTAGTAAGGTAAACAGCATGTCTAGGGAAACAATATCAGACCCAACTGAAAAACGGACGGTGACAACTCAATTAACATTATCAAATATCTTGAGTGAACTACAATTCCCGCACCATAACTATGAAACCTGGAAATTTTATCGTGAAAAGCGCAACAAATCTGAACCATTTTTGAGGAAGATAATTGGAAGATTGCAGTTAAATTCGTGGATTTTGGAGGAGAGAAACAACACGCCACAAACTCACCATCGTGGATCTGAACAGAGAACAGAATGGAGAAATGGCCGCCGGAGCCTCACCGGTCTCTCCACCACTGCCAACATTTGCACCCGAATGAAACTTCTAAAAAGATAATATTGATGCGTTAATCTGAAAAACATGCAGCATAACGATGATAGGATTTCTCAAATAAAAATTTATTTGAAAAAATATAAAAGTTAGGCGCGTAGAAATTAATCTTAACCAACTATGCTACCGGAAGTAGCAAGGCTGCCACAATACGGCACGCGGATGATTCAAATTGTACATCACGCTGGTCTTATTTTAAAGTTTAACACGGGCAAGGAAATACCAAACATGCTTACAGTTCAATCCTTGTTTTTACTATTATATGTTCTAAAATAAATGAATCTGTATTAAGCTCGTGTATTTCAATGACCATGTTCACTCTGAATGTATAGTTTTTGACAAATAAAAGTCTGAATCTGGAAAGTTAATTATGGAGTGATTATCTGGACGGGTCTTGGACTGAGGTGGGGAGTGAACCAAAACCAGCATTTTTGCCGTAGGCAAACTACACTGTCTCATAGACAATCACTGTCTGTGGCTCGACACAACAGACGGTCTCCAGGGAGCAGAGAGAGGGGGGAGGGGGAGGGGCTATGCGTCTGGTGTGGCCTGGGGGCGTGAGGACGGGGCGCCCTATCAGTCAGTTCAGCTCATCGCCATGGCTTACGTCGTGTTCCTTCTACTAGCGCTCGCTGCCGTGAAAGGTCTTTTCAACGTACCCCTCGGAGTAACGGCTCAATGATAGGCGCTTAATGGACTTAGTTGCGGGGCACGTGTGGAGATCCTAAACTTCTTAGCAGAATATAGCCCCCCCCCCCGACAAAAAACCCTCTTGCCCCAGATTTTGAAAGGTGTCGAAAAGCTCATCCTTGACCTGACGCATTATCTCTACGCGTGCGTCTAAGGGGTTGCCTACCCAGCCGGCGCGCCACTACGAAGCCATGAGTCCTTCGTCTTTCCAGCCCCCTTGATGGGCGTAGCCCTGCTCTGCCCTCCCGTGCTGTCCGGCCGGACCGCACAAGAAGCGTCAGTGCGAAAAATGCTTTCGGGGAAACGAGTATCTGTGTATTCATATTGTCTAATTGTGTCAGGTGGCGCTGAGATGCTGTGCGAGCCCGACGCTTATGGCGAGCCGCCGGCCGCTTCAACAGCCAGGCCGAGGCTACGGAGGGACCTGCTGTGCCAGTACGACCGCCAGAGTGCACCCAGGAAGTTCGTGAACATCACCACGGAGGTCTTCGTGAGGAGAGCCAGGGTTGTGCGTACATTTGTGTGGTTTACCAGTCTGCCCCGCCCTCTTTCTTGACCTTTTTATCTGTTGCACGGCCTAACTTGAACCATTTTTCATTTGATAGGTCCACCGCACGCTTGAGGCAGAGGTGCTAGCGAGCTTGGTAAGGCTCTCACCCTCTCACCCTCTACGCCATTCGATGCGGGTCAATTCAACTTTTGTTGTCTTTTCAGCGGTGGACCGACCAGTTTCTCACTTGGGATCCGGCGCAATATGACGGCGTGCAGGAGGTCCAGATCAGTTCAAACGACATTTGGATACCTCCCATCGTCACCTACAACACGTATGCAGCTCCAGAAGGGCGGGAATGTGTGGTCATTCCCCAGCATTCCCCGTTCAACAAATGCTTCCCCGAGAGCGTTCCATTTTTTCCACCCGAGCTTCGCCGACATCCACACAGTTTCGCCCCACTAAACATCTCATCGCCTTTTTTTTCTCAAACTTTGAAGCTTGCCGTGGTTTCGTGATGACGACCGGCCGCAGGCGGACTTCTGGCCCGTGCTGTGCAGCGTCTCCTCGAACGGCAACGTCCGCTGCACGAGCGGCACGGAGATGGGCGGCAGCTGCGAGGTGTCGTCCTTCTACTGGCCTCACGTGCAGGCCGACTGCTCCTCCTTCATCGGCCCCGACTTCCGCCTGCACAAGGACATCAGCGTCATGTCCGTCAACGAATCCGGCCAGGTCAGCACCGCACCGCATTTTTTTCGAGCAGATATGTTTTGAGGGGCAAACCCAGAATTGTTTTTGGAGGGAACCATGCCGCACCATTTGCCCTACAGAGTGGTCTGACTGGAGGATCCATGGCCTTCCCCCGGGCTGGAGCCACGACTGAAAGTTTTTTGTGTACATATATTTTGTTCGATCTAATAAATCTGGGCAATAGGGTGCAGGGGATGGGGAGGGAGCGGTTTTCCACTTCCCTTCAGATCCGCCCAATTCAGCGCGCCTTGCCTTGGGACTACACGCGGATAGATAATGATAGTTTTTCATGAAAACCGACCATTGAGATTTGGATCATGGTGGTTTGGTGCACAAAAAGAAGATTTTTGTGGGTGCGCAAATAAAACCCCACGCCATAACAATTATTGTTTATTGGTATTCCATCAAATCTTTTGTTAGTGAATAGGTTTTCTTTATCTGATCATATGACATTACCCATAGTAAATTTAGTGGAAAAGAAAAAAAAAATTTCTTTTGGTTTGCAGTACAAACATTTTCAGTTCTTCACCTTATTACAGACCGAGATGAGCTACTACATTCCTGGCAATGACTGGATTGTAACTACACTGGAGAAAAGAAATTTTGCCTTTGGTCCCGACCCGTTTATGGCTACGGCTCTGATCTACAGAATTAAACTGCACTCCAGAGGAGTAAATATTTCAGCGGCTCTGATTGGGCCAGCAGTTGGTATGTATCCTCAACGGACATAAAACTGCCTTGAAAATTTGTGACCTCACAGCATCCTTCCATTTGTTCCAGTTCTCAGTCTGATGTTACTGGGCTCATTTATCCTTCCCATTAAATCCTTCACTAGACTTGGACTTTGCTGCTGCAGCACTTTTGGCACAGTTCTTGCATCCAGTTTGCTTTTTGAATATCTTGAGCCATATGAAGATCCTTCTCCACTTGTTGGTAAGTACATGTACCACCATGAAGGTTTTTCTTTGTGCTAAATTTCATAAGGATTGGAAGGGGAAAAAATAATTATGTAACTATGTACTGAATTACATGCAGTATAAATTAAAAGATGATTTCCCTTATAACACAGTGACATTTTACACGGGACTACTCATCCTCTCGGCAATAGCAACCTTTATGGTACTACTTGTTAATATTGTGGTGCCCAAATCAACAAAACCACCAGAGGCTCCTCGCTGGCTTTACTCCTTCCAAACATGGCTGTTTCATGCAGAAGTTGGGAAATTGTGTCTAAAAGCCCTGGCACTCTCGGCACCAGAACAGGTAAGTTTTAAAAGCAAACTTTTGACGTGCAGGAAGGGGAATTGCGAGACTAGTAGAGTAAGTTCAGAAAACATTTTTGAAGCAGTTTACATCGGCCTCAAAAATGTCGACTCTTATGAGCTTAGGACTTGAATTACCCTCCTCTGCAATAAAAGAAATGCTTTGGCAAGAAAGCAGTTTTAAGTGAAACAAAAAGTACAATTCTCTTAGCACTAGTAGCAAAAAGGTGTTTACCCTCCAGAATTATTGTCAAGCAATTGAGTTGATGCCTGCATTGCACATGCAGAGAGGAGAATTGCCTGGAGTGGACAACGGCAGGAGTGAGGACAACGAAGATCCTAACAGTGAAGAAGCTGCGTCACCTGTTCAGATGTCAGCTCAACGAAGTCCTGGTCCAGATAGGATTTGGGATTTTACTGCAAGTTTCCTTAACCGTTGCGTCTGTATCATTTTTCTCTTAGCTTTTAGTGTGCTTGGCTTATATCTTGCACATGCTGTAACAATTTATGAAGACCCTGAAGTAATAGAATAATTGAGATGTAAATTACTCAAAAATACCCCAAGGATACAAAAATGTGAAAATAACTCTTTAAGACTGTGAACAGACTAATATCAGCCTTCTTCAAACCACAAGTTTTGTTTCAATTCGTTAACAACTGCAGGTCACAGCCTGCTTTCTAACAAGAATTGAAATTACAGTACAGGAATGAATAGTGTTCCCTGAACCTCACAACCAAATACACTACACCAAAACAGGCAAAATTACACAAATATTAACACAAGGCCTTGATAAATTTATTGCAAGTAGGGTAGATCGGTTGGATCCATGGTAAAAAAGGAGAAAGTTTTAGCCTAATGTACATAAATGAACTTGCACTGTCTCATATCAATATGACTGGCAAAAAATTATCAGGGCCTCCCAAACTATAATACAAATAATAATAAGGAACCTTACATGATTTAAATCTTCCTTCTCCATACATTTAAACAATAAATACATCAGCATAACAAAAAAAATGAAAACTTGAAAAACAACAACTTTGGTTACAGTTTATCTACAATATCACACATGAGTCTATCAAGAATATCAACAGCATCTGAGTCTTTTTTGTTGTCACTAGATGTATCCATATCTTCAAATGCTTCGGTGGGAATCATCAGCTTACTATCTGCTTCAGATGAATCTGGAAGATTGTGGAGTGCTTGTTGTAACAGCTCATGAACCTGAAAAAGTAAAAGATGGTTCAATTAAGATTCACCAACAGTAATCTGCCATAAAATAATGAAATCATCTGTCCTAAAAAAGAGAAATAAGGAGCCAGATAAAAGTAAACATCAGGTGATTGTCAGTGAATATAAGAAGCCAAGGGTTTACAATAACTAATAAGCAGTACCTTGTCTAAATGCTTCTGAAACCGAGCAGCCGTTTCAATTCTTTGCCGCTTTTGAAGTTCCATCATTACCCTCAATGTTTCACGAGCCTGGAAAAAAACAAAACAATTCAGAAAATTCTTCACATAATAGCAAGGGGATGAATTCCAAGTAGAAATGCTAGTAGAAATACAAAGGAAGAATGAAATAAACCAACCTGGTGGGGACGAAACTCATTCAATAAATGATGTATGTGGATGAAAAGTAAATTGAGATCCTCTACTTTTTCGGCACGACGGGGTGAGTCAGGACACAGGACAAGCAAATCCAACATATCAAGGAAATTTACTAGTAAGGAATGATTAAGCTTCCGAAGTTCTCTGCGGCGATCAAAGTGCTGGGGATATAATCGTTTGAAGCCCTGAAACATACAAAACAAAATTGAATACAGGAGAAAGCACACAAGAAAATGCCAGGTACGCTGACAATCAGCTTAAGATAGATATCTTTATTATTAATGGCTATGAAGGTTACCTGTGATTCCAAAGGGCGAATAATCAAATCATCAGCACTGAAGGCATTCCCAAACATGGAGTAGGTGTCTTGAATGGGAGGAGGCGGGCGGAGATTTCTTCCTCGACGAATATTTTCCTCTGAATACAATTGTATATACTGCATTGGAGGCAGTGGCAGAGAGCTCACTTGACTTGCTTCGGGAGCTGCCATTTCGAAAAACTCAGAGAATTCTGACGAAGGCTCAATGGGAACGTCGGCCACACTAACCTACAAGAACTTGCACTTTCACTTAAAATAGGGACCTTCTGAAGCTACGAGACCAATCTTTCAATAATCGTGACTGGCACTGGAATGTTCATCGGCAAAATTTTTTAAAAGGTCATAAATCTTCTCCATATTTCCCTGATAAGTAGAACTCACAAGTATAAACACGACTTTACTGTTTACAGCGAATCGCCATTGCGGTTTCAGTACAAACGGAGTCAAGCAAAACACTAAATCCTTCTCAAAGTTCTTGTAATTCCCGTGGTGGAAATATGGTGTGTATCCGATAAAATAATTTTTAAAACAAATAAAATATTTTTAGTTATTTTGTGTAGTAATTTTCCAAAATAATGGGATTAAAATTTAAAATCATCTCTGCGCGGACTTTAGCAGTCGCCGCAAATACCATCGTTTCCGCCTTTCGTGTTGACATTTCATTTCACCGTGCCGTTTGCAATGTATTTATTTACTTGGTGAAAACAGGAAAAATGATTAGGATACCACCTTTACATGTCCGTGTTATCATTGATTGCCTGTTACAATAGTTAATTCCGTGTGTCCCGTTTGAATGAAATTGTGTCTAGCTGAAGCACTGTTGTTTTATTGATAAGACTCTTAAAACATTTGGGTCTAACCTTCAGTTTCGCACCACCATATGATAGTGTTTTTCCCAGATTATGTTTGAACAAGCAAAGTGCAAATGGTGCGTTTCTTATAATGAGTGGTGAATTGCGCGAATGAACGTTCGTCATCATTGGTTTGTGTGGACTGGTCAACTATTCTTCGGAAGCCTCAACTGCTTTGACTCAGTTAGCTGGGGTGAGAACTTGGTTCAGGGGCAACATACAAAGTTATGGCTAGTAAGGATGGAGGAGAAGAAATAATCAAGCAAGGATTTATGATCAAACGGTCGCAGAACAAGAAGAGATTTTCACCAATCAACTTCAAGCAGCGCTGGTTTGTCCTTACCAAGCGACATCTCATCTACTATGACAGTGAAGGAGAGGTAAGCATTTTAAACTTACTTTGGTGGTGGTTTTAAATTGTTTTCCCGTCGTTAACCCTATGGTTTGCTCGTTGAGTCAGCGGACTGATACATCTCAAGAACTTTATATTTGTGCTGACCCCATGGTTACTTTCTAAAGCAGTATTTGTAATCACCGCAGAAAAACATAATTTGCGTGTCAGTCCCTGAAATTTTATTACACATCTGTGAGCTAATCCATTTTTGACATGTTTGAATATGATGAACTCTTTTGAACTCTCATTTTATTTTGCGTTGATTAGCTTGCTTTGAATGTAAGTGTTTCAAGAGCTGCAGCCATTGCCAATGATGTTGCCACATTATGATTTACAGTAGTTTTGTGTTTCTCTCCTGGTTTTTGGCCATTTTGCCCTGTTGAGACCTTTTGCATTTCCTGAATTGTGCTTTTCTTACAATTCTGTATATATGTAGCTGCATTTATTGTCTGCTGAGTTTCCGTTTGAAGTGTGTTGCCGATGGACATGCGTTTTTTAGTGGTCCTCTGTTGGCCAGAATCAGAGCTGCATTTGTGTTGTTTTCGTTGCCTAGAATGTACTAGTGTGTGGTGTGCTATGCCGAAGCTTCTTTAGAAATAGACAGACACTGACCTCTCTTTTTTAGATTCACAAATTTTAGTCTCATCAGCATGGAGTGCAAAATAATTTTTGGTATCTATTTTTATTTCTTTGCATGCTTTTTCCCACATCTCTTTATTTTTCTTTCAAACAAAAGAACAACCCATCTCACAAATACACTCAAAACACACTCATCCCCACACACCCAACACAAATTCAAAAACATGTTAGTTTGGCATGTTTGTCTTGCTTACTATTTTTTGTGTCTTAAATATGCTAATGTTATTTGTGACATCTGCATTGTGTGTGGTTTTTATTTTCGCTTAACATTCACTTATCTTATTTGACTATGAGACACTTTCTTTTCTCCTGAGTCTCAAAATTGGTGACAATCAATGACTTCAAAAATGTCTACATTTTGTGTCTTTTATTTAATTAAATAAATTTGATTTGTCTTTTTTATTCAACCAAAATTTTGGAACTAAGACACTAACATAAAACATGTTTGTCAGATGTTTGCAGAGAAATGTGAAAATGGAATAAAATTTAAAATGTCTTTTACCAAATTCTGCTGTCTGTACTTCTTTTACCTTGCAAAGACTTTAGTTTTAATGTGAAGCCGCATTGCTACATTGTTTTTTCTTTTTTTCAAAGCCCATTTACTTTTATTCTAGACCTAGAAAAATGAACTGGCGATGCCAAGTTCAATATTCACTGTTCTTTGAATACTGAGTTAGCACTTTGCAAAAATAAAATAAAACCGACTTTGTAAACTGCGTGGCTTCTATTAAAACAAAAGTCTGGCCAAACCTGTCATAACAATCTACACCTTACTCAAGTTGATACTCCAAATTGGAAGACATACGGAAGGCTTAGTAATTTGCATGCCACACACAGTATATCCAAAGCAATTCATAATGAAAATGCACAAAAAGTTTCTAGCTCTCTTTCTGAAAACCATTGTATTTAATTGTTGATGAAAGCATTGGTACATCATAACGGAGAAATAAGACCATCTTTTTCTTTTCAAGCCAACTATTTTGTCGATATTAACCTCCATTTTGAGTTGTGGTTCAGCCTTGAAGGGGAAGAAAGTTGTTTTTGAATCTGGCCATTGAAGAAAGCATAATGTAAAGGAAAGAGGGCGTATAGTGGAAAATAATCGACAGCACGCCGTTGCATTAATCTCTTGCCCGCGGCACTGGGCTCAACAAGAAAGCCAAGCCAAGTAGATTTCGAGGTGTGTCAATGCCGCTTTATATGAGGCAAATATCGAAACGACCTGTCAGGGACGGCAATTTGTGATCATTGCAGCGTGCTTGGGTCGGTTGATGATTTTCAGTGGACAGAGAGAATCGGAAACCAATGCAAATTTCAGGGCACTCCCTTAGAAACCAAGGTGACACTTTTAACTTTCCTCAGCAGTGCACGCTGCCTATCGCCACCCGAATGTCCTGCCTGACCTACCCTACGTCCCGCTGATGACTGTTTGCCAATTCCGGCCCATCCGACGCGGTGGGCACCGGTCGCAAGGCAGGGTGTAAAAGTCTCTGTGTGGTTGGAACCTTTCGGGTGCATTATTGAAAGATGCATCCATTTCCCTCCCTTCTCTCTACCGGTTTCCAGCGAGGGGGTATGCGCTCTCTGAACCTGTGTACCGACTATTACGCTATTACGCTCTATTACGCCACAAATTAATCGGAATTTAGCTAAAAACGGCCTAAAACACACCAAAATTAATAAAATTTTGACAATTTCGGCTATTACGCGACTATTACGCGTATTATTACGCAAGCTATTACAGATAGAGTGTACCGACTATTACGCGAGTGCATACCCCCTCGGTTTCCAGCGGGCGGGCAGACGGGCCGCCGGGCGACACAGACCAGAGAGGACCTCTCTGACACAGACGACGCGACCGGACAGCCAGACTTCCATGGACCACAGAGACTTCACGACGAAAGGATGGGATGGGTCTGGCAGGGAGGATCTCTTTTCTCCCTTGTTCCCTTCCTGAGAGCGCATGCATGAATTCATGGCGACGGGCGACGGATTGAGTGTTCTCTCCCGTCCAGGAGGTTTTTCTCTAGTGCATCGGAGTTTTTGCTCTCCGGGCTCCGGGCGAGGAGAGGTAAGCGCAGGTAAGCGAGAGGGAGGGAGAGTAGAGGTGGTGGTACTCATCGATTCCATCCAGCCAAGAGACATCCGAAGTGAGCTGGTCCGTCGTCGCCGACCTGCTTCTGCTCCGCGATCCGCGGCCCCACCGGCAATACCCCGCGGGCTGGAGCCGGACGCGCGGAGTATCGCCGCTCGGCTCGGCGCTGCAGAATCTCATTAGGGTTGCTGGCAGAGACGCGGAACGCGGGGAACGCGGACGGAGGCGAGGTGCGCCTCCTCATTTGCGGAGAGGTGCCGTTCTATCATTCAAACTTTCCGGGAGAGTCGTGGCGCCAAGCGCGCCAAGCGCGCCAAGCGCGCCAAGCGCGCCCAGCTCGTCGTTATCCTGGCGAGGAGGCGTTGCGTTGTCGGGGGCGACCTTTCCGGTGCGCGTGCAAGTGGGCGGTTCACGGGAGGGAAAACGGAAAAGCTGCCTTTCTGTCAAAAAATGAAGAGTCTAAACAAAAACATTAAAAAAAAACCTCCCCAAAACACAGCTTTGACCTTGGTCGATTGCAGAGAAGCGCCGGAATGTCGGCAGCACACTGAGAAAAGCTTGCAAAGAAAAGTACTTTGCAGTACAAAGCATTCTCCGGCATCGTATTACAAACTCCCTTGCGAACTTTTTTCTTCGCATTGCAGAGAAATGGCTCGTAAGTTGCGAAGCATTGGTTTGTAACGTTGCAAAGCATTTTCTTTGCAAGTTGCAAAGAAATACTTCGCAATGCAAAGAAAATAGTTTGTAAGAGAGTTTGCAATACAATCCCAAAGAACAGAAATTTGTCATCCAGACGTCAAATGATATCAAAGAATGGTCAAAATCCTGTTTGTCAGAATGACATCATTGTCGACGGTCAAAGTTAGGGAATTTTGACGTCAAGTTGATGTCAAATGATGTCACGAATCCATTAAATGTATAAAGGATACGACTCTACTCATCGGCTGATATCCCCCTGTTTAGTTGTCCCGCCTATGTGTGGTAGTAGTGTCTCCCTCCGTTAAATGTCGAAAGTCGCTCCGTGGCCGGCCGGACTCGAACCCACGTCTTCGGCTTCGGGGGCGAGCTCTTTACCACTGCGCCACGAAGACATCTAAAGATCGACTGCTCACCGCTGCTCTAAGACCAGCGGTCGGGAATCTGCCCGGCAGTTGACTCGAAAGTGACGGCAATTCTTTGGGATGAAAAAATGTCTGGTATTTTCCACTTCATCACCCGAACGCGATAGACTTTCCAGAATACCAGAGAAGTCTGAATTTTTCACCGCAATTGCTGATTAAATGCGTTCATGGATGACATCAAACGGACGTCATCGTGACCAAGTGTACTCCAAGATCTTAACTTCACAGGTTATCGCCAGTTTACCTCTTTTCCAAATGGCGTACGACTTTTTGAAAGGAATAATGCAATTCCAGTTAGTTTTGCTCGTAGTTTGTAATGAGTCAAATTGACATCATCCTGATGTCACCTTTCAAGAGAGTGACTAAATTTTGTCATTTTTCAGTCACTTGATGTCAATGTGACTATTTTCTGTTCTTTGGGATGCCGGAGAATACTTTGCAAGGTTTTTTGAGTGCAGGCGCTGCACCCGGCCAAGGCCAAAGTCCCGGGGAGACAATTAGAGGCGCCTTTTCGGAAGGTTTCTATTTATTCAGCAGCATCTGGCGCGACCCGCCCTCTGGTCCCTGCGGTCCGCCCCTCCCCGCCCCGCCCCTCCCCGCCCCGCCCCTCCCGCCCGCCCTTTTCATCGTGGCCATAATTGTCTAGTTATTCCGTAATGAAGTTCTCCCGCCTTTTCTTCCGCGCCGCCTTTGTATACACCACCACATCTCGCGCCTGCCGGTTCCGCCTCAACTTTCGCACCGCTCGCGACGGGAAGCTCTCTCTCTCTCTCTCTCCCCTTCCCTCGCCTCCCTCTCACTCCGGCTACAGACATTCCCGACGTTTGCACTTTGTTCCCCTGGACGGCGCCTATCCGTTACAGCTGCAACCGCAAGCCAGGCGAGCGGTTCCGACCAGCGATTCCGTCCCTCTGCCTCTGTCGCACTGCTCCGAGGGGGTAACGACTGGTAAATTTCGTGTCAGCCGGATAACGGATTACCCCGGATTACCCCCAAATTACCTCCGGATTACAACAAAAATATTCCTGGATTACCCCGGATTACCCCGGATTACCTCCCAATTTGCTGTCAGCCGGATTCCCGAAGTCGTTACCCCCTCGCACTGCTCGCATCGGACGTCGCCCGAAGGGG